GTATTAGTTACTCTGCACACAAGTGACAAGATACTAACCACAGGGTGAATTTCTTCTGGCTCACAGTGGGGAAGTCCTGCTGGCAGGAGTGCCTAGTCATGCTCCCAGGGGCAGAAAAGGGAATGAATGCTACTGCTAGGTTCACTCTGCTTTTCATTCTGTCCATGGTCTAGCCCATGGGATGGTGCCACCCACATCTAAGGTGACTCATCCTGGCTCAGGGAGCTCTCCTGAAAATACCAACACATCCAATGGTGTGTTTCCATGGTGACTTTAAGTCCTGTCAAGTTGACAATGAAGTTTAACCATCACAGTTTCACTCTGCTATGCCTAGGTGTCTCCTAGAAATTAAAGAATTACAGTTTTGGGTTTTTTAGATTTATTTATTATGCATACAGTTTTCTGTCTGCATGTATGTCTGCAAGCCAGAAGAGGGCACCAGATCTCATTACAGATGGTTGTAAGCCATCATGTGGTTGCTGGGAATTGAACTAGGACCTCTGGAAAAGCAACCAGTGCTCTTAACCGCTGAGCCACCTCACCAGCCCCCATGGTGTTTTTTTTTTTTAAACATCTAGACAGGCTTACTGTTGCTTGATGTGTTGATATTTCACTACCCCACAGTTAGACCCCACCTAACTATGGTACGTGAAAATTATTTTTAAGCATGGACAGATTGGTTAACAGAATCATCTATTACATCATCAGTTTGACCATTTGTTTTCAAATTTTTATTTTTAAATATGTTTACATGTATGGCTGTGTGCATGTAAATATCAGTGCCTTTAGACCAGAGGTGTCAGGAGTTTCCTAGAGCTGAAGTTACTGCCTGGTATGGGTGATGGGACTCATGCAAGTCCTCTGAAAGAACAGTAGATTCTCCTAACCATGGAGCAATTTCTCTAGCCCCCTTTAGTTTCTTTTAATATGCAGTGTAAGTCCTTGGTATAATCATTTGCATTTGAAAGTATGTTTTGTTTAAAATGCATAAACGTTTTTCATTCCCCTGGTTTGTAGAGGAACATTGAGTGAGTGGTACAGTTTTTATTTATTGAGACACTGACATGTTGCCCAAGTGTGCCCCACACTTGATCTACAGCCCAGGGTAACCTTGAGTTTCTGATCTTCCTACCACTACCACCTGATTTAGATGGTGCTGAGGATTGGACCCAGGCTTTTATGGATGCTAGGCAAGCACTCTGCCAAATGAGCGACATCCCCAGCCCTGCCTGGTTTTTAAATTTTTGTTGTAAATCTATGTGAGATTTTTGTTGCTTCAATAAGTAATCTAAAATCAAGTGAGTTAACATGTAAACCTGGCAAATGACTATAGTATAATACATCCTTTTAACAACTGTATAGAAAATAAAATTCTAGCTCACCGTGAAAACCACCCTGACCAGGACTTCAGCTACATTTGTTTGTCTGCTGTGGTGTAGGCAAAGACTTTTCAGACTCTAAATAATCACCCAGAAACTATATTAATTACAACACTGTTTGGCCTGTTAGCTCAGGCTTATTAACTAACTCTTATATCTTTAATTAACCCATTTCTATTAATCTATGTATCACCATGAGGCCGTGGCCTACCAGAAAGTTTTTGTGCATCTGTCTCCTTCAGCAGGTACATGGTGTCTCTTGACTCCACCTACTCTATATTCATCTCTGGATTTCCTGCCTGGATATATTCTGCCCTGCCATAGGCTAGGGTATCTTCTTTATTAACCAATGGTAATAAAACATTCACAGCATACAGAGGGGAATCTCTCGAACAGGTTAACATGTGGTCCCAGCATATAAAAGGCTTTTTGGGATGATGTGGGGCTAAATAGCACTTGTCTCATGGGATGGGTGGTGTAAACTAGCATATGTGGAAGCTTCCCAGGAATCATAAGTGGTCCAGTTTATTCATACACAGATAAGCTTTTGAGTGCCTACATAATGACTGAATTTGACTGGGCTAAGAGATGCCCAGGTAGCTGATAAAATTATTTCTGCGAGTGTTTCTGAAAGGAAGTAGCATTGAATATTGACCAAGTAAAAGTCTGTTGAAGGATAAACTAGAACAAAAGGAAGTACAAGATTGCTCTGTTTGAGACGGAAAATGTCTTTACCCTTAGACGTTAGCATTTCTGGCTAGGGGCCACCATGCTTGACCTGGAATTATTAAGTAATCATGTACACTGACCATGGCTTTTCTTTCTCTGGAGACCTCCCACAAATACCCTATAACATGTACAAGGTCCTGAGGATGCAAAGATGAGTAAAGTTGAATTTCTGCCCTTAGTAAGTCTTTGCTAAACAGTCCTTTGTAGTGTTTGCACGGCCAGTGGTTTTGTGTGTGTGAGGAGGTTGGTTTTCGTTGTTGATTTTTGTCTTTTGTGGGATCACCCACCCCTGTTGAAGGGGTTGAACACAGGTCCCTGTGTGTGCTGGGCAAATGACTATGAATTAGCTTCAGTACTTTAAATGACCCCAATATGGAATAGTGACAAGGTACTTTCAATAGACTTTCTGATCTCTAAGGAAAAATACAGAGAATAAAGAGGGGGATTAATGTCTCCTTTTATTCTCAGTCATCACCCTCAGTTTTTCCTAAAACTTACATCGACCTTGTATCTTTGTTTATTGCTTATCACTTCCAGCTAGGAAGTACATATCCCCAGTACACTGGACATCTTGTTTTATCTCAGCAACGGTCAATTTCTAGGACAGGCATACACATGCCACTGAAATACTTGATGAATGAAGAAAATGCCAATTCCCAAAGATGGAGACACACTAGTGCATGTCCACCAGCTGTCCTCCAAAGATCCTTTTGACACTGTTTAGAGGTGGTGGGGCCTAGTCAGGGTGTCTTCTTAAAGGACACATTTGGACTGGGAGCTTCTTGCTTCCCAGTAATCATTAAGTGAGCTTAATGACTACCACAAGCTTCCCACCATGATGCTCTTCCTCGCCAAGGTTCCAAAACAACAAACCAACCAACCATGGGCTGAAATTTGTGAACTCATGATCCAAAATGATCTTAGTTCAGTATGATGTATTACAGTAGGCACACAAAGTTGGCAGGCACCATATGACCACTGGCTAGACAGTTTCAGTCCTTGACTCAGACAACAAATAGGAAGTAAATATTTGGCTTAAAAGCTGAGTAACAGCCAGGTGGTGGTGGCGCACTGGTAGCGTACACCTTTAATTCCAGGCAAAGTTCTGTGCCAGCTTGGTCTGCAAATCGAGTTCCAGGGCAGCCAGCAGAACTGTTATACAGAGAAACCGGAGGGGGGGGCCACAGGGACGGGGGTGCGGGACGAGACACGACACGACTGGGTAACAACCGCATTAGGATAACCTGGGGTTGACTCTGGAGGAAGTGAAGGGAGGTTTGACACAGGTCTCCCCGATTACCATAAAAAGCAGTGACAGCAAAGTAAATAAGATTTCTGGCCTCAGGATTGTAAGAGTGGGATAGTACTTAAATACTTAAAGGATTAGTGCTCAGAGGTACAGTCTGGTACTGATTGTGTAGCTGATGGTAAGAGCACTTCCGTAGCATGCGTGGGCCTGCTCTCCAGCGCCACCCAAGGAAGTTGACTCTTTTTTTTTTTCTCTTTGCAAAACTGTTTATTAACTTTTGCATCAGTATGAATATCTCTTATTATACCCTAGCACACTAGAATTCAGGGAGGTGGTAAAGTAGCAATGGAGAATTTGGGTATCTGGTCTCTCAAAAGGACCTGCCGTTCTACCCCAGATTCTTGAATGGCTGCCAAGCAGATCACCCCCTTCACTGCAGCCATCCCGTTCCATAGCCAGAGCGAGAGCATTGGCAGTGAGCTGCAGACATTCGTCCTTGGTCATGCCTTCCCGGTAGGTAGCATCAACGTAGCCATAGATTTATGAGCTCCCAGAGCCTCCAATGGCAAACGCCTTACCATCATACCCACCATGGGAACTGAGTACACCTGCCCTCCTTCTTGAGGGTCCCAGCCTGCAATGATGATCCCCGCCATCAGGTCCTCTCGGTAGCGGTAACACATCTCCTTAAACAGACTGGCGGCTTTGTGTACTAGTGGAGGCTTATTCACCTCGATACTGTGAAAACCAAGCTGGTAAGTGATGGCATCGGCTACGGCCTGGGTATCAGCTGCTGAGCCCGAGCGGCAGCAGAAGATATGGTCATGGATAGGGGTCAGCTTGTCAGTCACTCGGTTGGCGATGTAGGACCCAGTGGTTGTTCTAGAGTCGGCGCCTAGGGACACGCCCCCATCAAATTGCACAGCCATGATAGTGGTCCCTGTGGAGACTTCCCGGTTTTCCCAGTCTAGTGTGAGAGAGCCTCCGGCCCAAAAACCGGAAGTTGACTCTTTAGAACCAGAATGTAGACTGGCTATGTGAACTTACAGAAGTACTTGAAGGAAGTCCTCCAAGAAGTAGTTTACTGTGTGACATCCACATAAATCGTAGAATCCAGTTCAGAACTGGGCATTCTCACCTGATAAGGCGCCAACCCTCTTTCCTGAACTGGATCTCGAAGAGGTTAAACAGTGCCTTAGCATTTGCGCCCGCACCAGAGTCAGCCCCTGGTTCCAACCACCGTTCCAAATCCTGAAATGGCAATTCTGAAGCATGAACCCATGAAAAGCTGTGCCTCTACCTGCCTCTTTCACGCGACTCCCGAAGGTTTCTAAGTTACCGTCTTATGGACTATACGTCTCTCCCGAATTCTGTCGCCCCGCCGCAGCCTGACCATAGTGGTCGCACCGCTTTGGGCGGACAATTTCGGTGAGTCCCTATTGAATCCTACGCTTTCTTCCTCCAGCCGCCTTTCGTCTGGAGTAGGGGTGCTAATCACTAGGTAAACCAGTTTATTGCCGGGAGACCGGAAGAAGAGCGGTTTCCGACGCTAGCTCTGGGACCTACACGCTGGCGGCGCCCAGTCGCTTAGCAACCACCAACTTCCTCCTCCGCTCCGTCAACTTCGAGATTCTCTTCCGGGGCAGAGGTCGCCCCGCTCCTACCCTCGTCTCCTCCAAGATGGCGAGCGGCGGCAGCGGCGGGGTGTCGGTTCCTGCGCTGTGGAGTGAGGTGAACCGTTATGGCCAGAACGGCGACTTCACACGTGCCCTCAAGACCGTCAACAAGAGTAAGTGTCGGGGTGGCCCGGACTGTCAGGACGCCGCCGTCCGTGTCCAGCGCGCGACGCCTCGGCACAGCGCCGTGGGGATCGCTGAGTCCTCCGACTCAGCCCCAAGCCCGGGGGCGGGCGGCGGCTCCACGGCCACCGGCGGCCAGGGCTCGGTTGCTTAGGGCCACGTGGACTTCCCTCCTTACCCGCAGGATCCGACGCGAGGGGGAGGGGGGCCTTAAAGAGACCGCGGCGTCCCGAACCGCTTCCAAATTGATTTCGATTTCTTCTCCGCTGCCGGATTTTGCAGAAACGTCAGATTGACTCTTCTTCTTCGTTATCTTGAGGGACGTATCGTGGAGGGAACCTGTTGACTGGGGCAAGGTTAGGGGCAGGAGAAGCAACCTTCCTGGATACCTAACAGTACGTTGCAGACAAGGTGGAAGTGTTGCAGATTCTACAGGGGAGGGGTGTGGATGTCAAGGCTCCATTTACTCGTTTCCACGTATATAGTCTCCCCCCGTGGTGTTTAGCCAGAGTGTGTGTGTGTGTGCGTCTCCGCGTAAGTGCCCCAACATTTAAAAATACATAGGAAGAAAACTCTGATCTGTGTTTTTACCCACCATAAGTGATCATTTCTAATTTTCATTGTCTTCAGTATGAGATTCCATACGTTGTCATTCTTCACTACGTGCCTGTAATTTGGCCTCGCTAAATTCTGTAGAGTAGATGCGCTTGTGTGTTAGGCTTGGTAATGTAACTACCAAATGGTTTAGCTGCGCAAAGCACTAGTTATGTAAAAGATACAGCAGTAACCTACACTTTGCACCTTTGGCTTTTTGAGTTTCTGTGAAAATAATGATGGTGGCCACAGTGCCTTGAGGAAAATAGCGACTGATTAGAATCCTTGATTCTACTTGAATTAACAGTATCCCTTAACTGGGCCTCCAGCCAATGCTTAACAGTGTAACTCTCTGCAGTAATACTTTAACCAGCCAGGACTGTCATTTCAGCAATATATATATCAATTTCTAGAAATTCCTTTGATTCGTAAACTGAGAATTGAACTCCTGTAGTTAACCAGGAGCAAGGACAGCTGTGATCGTAGCCGTTTTGACACTGACCTGCTGTTAGCATCCAGCCTAGGCCACCTGAGTTATTTGTATATCTCTTTGATCTCCTTATGGGAAAGGGAAGATTTGAGTATTTGGAAAATTTCCACAAGATGAATAATGTCTACGTTGTCCTTTGGTTTTGCAGTGCTGGAAACTGGACTTAGGGCCTCACATATGTTAGACGAGCTATCTTCCCATTTTTATTAGTAAAAAATTGGGTAAGGAATGGATTTAAAAATGACTTTCCTAAAATCGTTCTCTAGTATTGCAGATCAACAAGGATGATGTCACCGCCCTGCACTGCAAAGTTGTTTGCCTTATCCAGAATGGAAGTTTCAAAGAAGCCTTGAACGTCATCAATACTCACACCAAAGTGTTAGCCGAGTAAGTGGTTCAGTTAGCTGTCCAGTTACTAGAAATACTTCTGTTAGCGTTGTTTGCTTCTACTAATCACTTACTTTTGACCTACTTTTCTTTCCCCTTTGTTTTGTTTTGTTGTTGTTGTTTGTTTGTCATGGGTCTTTCTGAAATTGGAAGGAGCAGTAGTTACTTTTGTCCGGTTCAATTGTGCTATCAGAAGCATTTATTGGGTTTTTTTGTTTGTTTTCCCTGGTTTCATTGTGTTGTATTTCCATGTTTGTTTATCCTGAGTCTAATCCTTTATAGCCTGGAATTTACTGTGTGGCCCAAGTTGGTCTCAAATTTAAAACTCCTGTTTCAGCCTCCTGAATGATGGGATGACAGGTAAGGGCCACAGTCCCCAGCTTTCTTTTGAACTACTAAGAAGGGGCAAACCATAAAGGAATGCAGAGTATAAATGTGAAAAGAGCCAGGTGTGTAATTTATGCTTGTAATCCTGTTAGCTTAGGAAGCTGCGGCAGAGTTCCTAGTTTGTGGCCATCTTGGGGTATATACTAAGGCTCTGTTTCCAAAATTGGGGTTTGGTGAAGGGCGTGAGTAATAGTTAATGGAGAGGGGATGGAGGGAGAAAGCAATCTTGAATCCATCAATAGATATGTATAAGGTCAGAGCACAGGCACATCTAAATTGATGGAAGGTTTAAGGTGATGTGGCAGGCTTAGCCTAACCTTTGGCCCTAACTCCATTAATTGTTTAGACAAGACCTTTCAGCTGTTTAGGTTTTTGGTGGTTTTTTAATTTAATTTATCATATCACAGAACGTGAAGTTACTTTTTTACATTTATTTTGATAGATTTTTTTCTAAGTGGGAGATTTTAGTTGAAACTTCAAAGTGAACTTTAGATATCAAATTGATGTGCATGAGTTTTAAATCTGGTATTTAAATGCTGCTTGTTTGGTTTTATCTTTGTCAGTTAATTATAAATACAGTATATTTATAATTATTATATAATTATAATTATTATAATTTCTTTGCTAATTATTTGCTTCATGAGCAAAAACAGAAGCATCATATAACTTATTAGGAAAATTTAAGAAACTTTTTTCTTTGGAGATGGCATCTCGTGTCTCCCAGACTGGTCTCAAGCTCCTGAGGTTGCTGAGGTAGAGCTTAGGTTTCTGATCTTTACCCATACTTCCCAGGGTTGAAATAACAGATGTGTACCACATCCAGTTGTGGGGTGCTGGGCATAGAACCAGGACTTCGTGTATCCTCGGCAAGCACTCTACACCAGCTGTGTGTCAAGATGTACCATTTGAGTGTTTGTATCTAAGGCAATCGTGGATTTATCTAGTCCTCGATTGCCTTCTTTAATGCTTATTTCAAAATACCAGTAGTTTTGTTAATATTCAAGAAAAAGAAAGAGTCGATGAGGAAATGAATATAGTACTTTGTGCCTCTTTAAGAGTCTGTGTGATTTGGGAGGGAAGTCAGAAAGCTTTGTTTTGACTATTAAATAGATTAACATGAGTTAAGTGCTTAGAGCAGTGGCTCTCGACCTTCTTCATGCTGAGACCCTTTAATACAATCCTTCATGTGTGGTGACCCCCAACCATAGAATTATTGCGATGCTACTTTGTAGCTACTGTTTATTGCTACTGTTATGAATTGTATTGCAAATATCTGCATTTTCTGATTGTCGTTGGGGGTCGTGACCCACAGATTGAGATGACCCACAGATTGAGAACCACTGGCTTAGCGCAATCTAGTATATATGGAGTGTTACATTGTTATATAATAATCAGATGCTGTTTTTTTAATTTTTTTCTTCAGTAACTCTCTCTCCTTTGAGAAGGCGTATTGTGAGTACAGGCTGAACAGAATTGAAAATGCCTTGAAGACAATAGAAAGTGCCAGCCAGCAGACAGACAAACTAAAGGAGCTTTACGGACAAGTGGTAATTACTGCTTTAAAGACTTGTTGACAGTCATCCCAAGTAAGCATGGCCTTAGCCCTAACATGGAGCAGGGATGAGGAAATTCAGTCCATCCTGATCTCGATAAGATTAGCCACCAAACCAGTGCTTGAGGTTTGGATATATTCTCTGTTCTTGCCCTTTGCTGGAAGAGTTGTATGTATAGTATTCTATAAGCTAAGACTTCTTCAAGGTCAGTGTATGAAATTGGAACTTCTGGTTAGAAAGGTAAAGAAAGGCCATTGAGCTGTGTACATAGGTGAGATAGTATTTCTAATAATAACTAGTATTCTAAGTTTAAAATGGGATGATTTTGAAGGATGGGAATTTGGGGGGCTTTTTTTTTTGCAATATATATTTTATTTGTGAAACTATGCCCTATGAAAATATTCTGTTTTGAAAATGTTTTAAATTAGATTTATTTGTTGTATATATGTGTGAGTATTCTGCTTCCATATATAATATGTGCACCACATGCTTGCTTTGTGCCATGGAGGTCAGAAGACAGTGTCACATGCCCAGGAACTGGAGTTACAAGATGGTTGTGAACCACCATGTAGGTAGTAGGAATTAAACTCGGGTCCTTTGCAAGAGCAGGTACTCTTAACTACAGAGCTGTCTCTCCAGCCCCTGAAAATATTCTCAAAGGATTTGAGACAAAATTCAGTCTGATCTGAAAGTGCTGTTAACGATGTGAGGACAGAGATATAAACTGGGTCCTTATAGGGTAGGTTCCAGGACTCGAAGGAACTAGTCTCTGGACACATAGGGGCCAATGGGTCTAGAGGAGCAGCTGTTACTGCCCTTCTTGTTTGCTGATTTTGTTTGAAGGAAGGTTCTTTCTTAGTATATAGCTATGGCTGGTCTGGAACACTAGACTGGCCTTAAACTCACAGAGATCCTCCTGCTAGGGTCGAGGCATGTGCCTCCACACCCAGCCCTGTTGCCATCCTTTTAGAACAATTTGACTGAAGCAAGACTTGTGTTGTATATACTTAGTACTACTATCATATTGTGTGACCCCTGATTTCTGAGAAACAGAAAGTAAAGGTTGTATATAGTGAACTTCTAGGAAATTTTAAGGCATTAGTTGGCATTTAATTTTTCTTCTATTGGCTGGCACTTAGTAATCATTTTGTGTGGCCTTTTTTCTTCATTGTAATTCAGGTAGCAGAATTACATAGATTTTTATAGATTGAATAGATTGTTATAGAAAGATAAAGAGCTTGCTTTCTAAATGTAGGTATTATAATACTTACAAATGTATATTATAATAAAGATTCAACACAAGCAATTTTTCTTGAAAGTATTAGCACACAAAAGTAGTTAAAAATATATAAAAGATAAACCTTTGACTTGCTCCTTTTGTGTTTCTATGTTCTGTCCTTCCTGGTTCCAGGAAACGTTAGTGCGTCTGAAACCAAGACCCTTGGTCACCTCTGATTTCTGTGTTTGGCCTTAGCTCTACCGCTTGGAACGGTACGACGAGTGCTTGGCTGTGTATAGAGATCTTGTCCGGAACTCTCAGGACGATTATGACGAGGAACGCAAAACAAACCTGTCGGCAGTTGTTGCAGCGCAAAGCAATTGGGAGAAGGTGGTTCCAGTGAGTGTCTTTCTGATCCACACAGCTATGAAACAATATTCGTGTACTTGCGGTTTGACTGACATTTTTCTCTATGACAGGAGAACTTGGGTCTCCAAGAAGGCACACATGAGCTCTGCTACAATGCTGCCTGTGCACTGATAGGGCAAGGCCAGCTGAACCAGGCCATGAAAATCCTACAGAAAGCTGAAGGTTGGGAGTTTTTAAAGCTTTCTGTAACTAAAACTATGTGTGGGATACATAATTTTAGTTAATCTCTAAAAATCACATTTAATATTTGTGAAATTCTGAAGTGGAAGTTACTGGGGCAGTGAGAATTTTCAGAGGTTTGTCTAGCCATCTCTCACTGGCTATCTCTCTAGTTCTGTTTAAGAATTAAAGTCGTTTCTAAAGTTTAATTTTGAAGAATAGGTCTTTGAGGGGTTAATATGAGTACTAAATGTAAATTAATTGACTCACAACAAAACAGTATTATAATAAAATGATTTCTGAACCAGTGAAGGGCCAGTGAAACAGCTCAGCGAACTAGGGCGCTTGCCTTTAACCCTGATGACCTGAACTCAGCCCCGGATAGCCACGTGGTGGGAGAGGATTGACTGCTGCAGGCTCTCCTCTGACCTCCACATGACATGATACGCAAACACATGCTCATGCACGCACACACACACAGAATAAAATTTATAAATGGAAGTTTAAATTTTTTAAAGAGTCATTCCATATATTGGTTATTATTATTATATTGTTTCTACTCAATACATATTACTCCTGTGTACATGTGCACATATGAACTGTACCACTCAAGGACATCTTAGCTCACTTAATATTTTTCTACATATATTTTATACTTTGAAGCCTTTAATTTAAAAACAGAGTGGTAGGGGTACAGTTAGCATTCTACATGGTTTTGGGTTCAATCTCCAGCTCCAAAATAGAAAAGAAAACTGGGAAGAAGGAGAGGAATGAGAGAGGAGAGAGAGAAGGCTTGGGTGATTTAAATTTAAATTTAGCAGATTTAAAATTTGGTTCAAAACCATCTATAGCTTAAGTGTAGGAGATCTGTCACCTTCGTATGCCCTCCACAGGCATCAGACACACACATGATACACTGTCTTACCCAGGAATTTTATTTCTAGAATTAAAATAAATAAATATATGTGTATATATATGTGTGTGTGTGTATGTGTATATATATAAAAGATGTATTTTGCATAAAGGTAAACTGAAGGGATGTTTAGGAGAACAAGTTTATAAGTAGCATGAGTTTCTATGTTGTTAAAGATAGGTCATGGGAGCTGGGGGAAGTTATGTAGTCAGTAAAGTGCTTGCCTTGCAATGAATGAACTCGTTCCCAGTCCAGTCCTCCCAAAGAAAAGCTGTGGTAGGGCTTGAGAGATGACTTAGCAGTTATCTGCTCTTCCAGAGGACCCACGTTTGATTTAGCACCCACACGGTAGCTCATAACCATATGTAATTCCCGTTCTAGGGAACCAGATTCCTTTCTCTAGCCTCCATGGCCACTAGGCACACACATGATACACATACATACATGTTAGCAAAACCTACATCTAAAATTAACAATTGCAAACAAACAAAATCCCTGGGTCTGAGGATGTATCTCAGTTGGTAGACTGCTTGAAAATTGCTCAGAAATTAGGTTTTGCCCTTTGAACTGTGAAAAGAATAGGAAGTGCCCAGCGATGCTAATTTTAAAGCCATTTACCATTTTTCTCCTATAGATCTTTGTCGCCGTTCATTTTCAGAAGATTCTGTAAGTATTCAATAAAACCAAACTTTATGTTTTGACTAATAGTAGTGGGAGGTTTCATTATTGTGTTTTAACTTTGTGGGAAAGATGACAGCATACATTTGGTTCTTATCTCATCAGATAGTAATTTTCTTCAGGAACTCGCCTTCAGTGAATCTGGGCATTCTGTGTGATTTGTATTGAAACAAGCGTCTTTTTGCTCTTGTTCTTCTTTTATTTTAATTCTTAGTTTTAACATTTCTCTCTCAAACACAAATGAAATCATATGTTTGGGAACAGCATCTCATACCCACCCAGCCAGTATACTTTCACCAGCTTAGTGCTTGGTTAGTAAAAGAGAGTACTGGGTGCTGGGGAGATGGCTTACTCTGTGAAGTGCTAGCTGTGGATGCTGATAATGAGTTTTATTTGCTGGGTTCGTGGGCATGATGCATACATCTTGCACTGTAATCCTAGCCCTCTAGAGGTGCAGCCTATTCTGATGAACAGGTTCTGAGGAAGTGAGAGACCTCGTATCAAATAAGAAAGTAGATGGGATGAGAAGATGGTACATGTACATACATGAATATATATATACTCATGGATAAAGAATATAGCCTCCTAGCTTTGAATATTTATTCGTTATGAATGTGCACCAGCCAGTCTTTCTGGAAGAATTGGAGAATAATCCTTTGGCATATAAATTACATTAGCTTAATCTGGAGCATCAATTAAGAAAGCCACATCTATTTTTTTTAGGTAATAGGGATCGAACCAAAGACCCTCATGAATGCTAGGAAGCATTCTACCATATGTCCAGCAAATCCAGGAGAGAGCTTTGAATTCCTTGGATAGAGAGTTATAGGCAGTTGTGTACTGCCAGATCTGCATGCTGGGAAGTGAACTCAGGTCCCAGTGTTAAAAGCAGTATGTGCTCTTAACACTGAGCTATCCAGTCCTAAAAGCATGTTTAAATGTGTTTTTGCAAGAAAGCAGTTTTTAAGAATTTGGGGAGATGTCATCAAAAGCACATGCTACTTTTTTATAATTAATACCTGAATTCCTGCATCTGTGACTATACTCGTTCAAGACCGCCTTTCCATTTTCCTTCGACAGTTTTGTGAAATTCAAAGCTGATTGTCAGGGAAGATTCCTAAAGAAACTTCATAAAGATTGTGTATATTTCATATGTCTGCAATACTTGGTCAAAATATGTAGCTGTTTCTTTTTATTTATTTATTTATTTATTTCTGCTTAGGATGGGACTGAGGAAGACCCACAGGCAGAGCTGGCCATCATTCATGGTCAGATGGCGTATATCCTGCAGCTGCAGGGTCGCACCGAGGAGGCACTGCAGCTCTACAATCAGATAATAAAACTGAAGTGAGTTGTTGAAATGAACATCCCTGGGGTGAGGCTTTTGTTGTTGACAGTGTGTCTGATACTAGCTATTGCGTGTCCACAGGCCAACAGACGTGGCTCTACTTGCTGTAATCGCAAATAACATCATCACCATTAATAAGGTATGAACTCCGGTTTTTCTGCTGAGAACATATTATCCCAGCTTTTTTCTAGGATTTTTTTTTTCCATTACAGAAAGAAATTCACATGTAACAAACTCATAATGGAGAGTATTTTCAACTCATAGTATTGGTGTTTTTGCCATGTTTATTCAAGTAATACAACTTTTTTAGTTATAGGCCTTGGATTTTAATAAACTATTCCTGTAACAATGAAGAATATCTTTGTGTTAGAAATATAAGTAGTTTGGACCTTTAAATACATGGGTGTTTTATATTCCTTTTCTGAGTCTAAATTTGGGGGGGGGCAGTTGTGGGGAACAAGATATGGGTAGATGGTTTGTCCTACCCACGTACCCTCTGTAAAACATTACAGGAGTGACTGTAGGTACTTCAAACTTAAGAGTACTATGCTAATCAAATTAATTGCTATGTGGAGCATTGTTTAAATGGAAAAACAATTCAAGTTGAGATCTGAAATCAACTGTTTGATTTATCGTGCTGTTCCTTGTCTTCAGTGGTAGGAGACTGGAAGAAGCTGTTTGTGTAAGGGAGTTCCAGGACAGCGAGGGCTGTCACACAGAAACCTTGTCTTGAAAAACCAAATAAAAAGAAAAGTCTCAAATTGGCATACATAAAGAATTGAATTATAAAAAGTAGTAATAATACCTAATTCAAAAGCATGGGTATTGGGAGTAGTGGCTCATACCTACAACCCCAGCACTTGGGAGGTAGAGTTAGGTAGGGAGGTCAAGAATTCAAGGTCATCTTCAACTGCACACTGAATTCAAGGCCAGCTAGAGCCACCTGTGACTATCTCAAAACAATAAAAAGAAGAACATGCTTGCAAGCAAAAGAAACTGTCTTCAGAGTGCTTTATGGCTTAGTTGTATTACTTTCTTAGTTTTCTACCCCTCTCACCCTCATTATGAAGAGCTGGGGCTTGAATTCAGAGCCTCGGTGCTAAGTACATGGTTTCCCTATAAGAAGCTTCAGAAATTGATTCTTCATGTGACTGCCTAGTTGAACTTAGGAAAGGGAATTAGTGACTGTACTACATTCGTGTTGTCTGCTACAAGTGGAGTCTGTTTCAGAAACTTAGGGATTTTTTAGCCACAATTCAAGCAGGATTGTCACCTTCTTTACCTCTCATCTAAATTCTAAACGGCATGGTTAATAGACACTGCAGGTATGTGTCTTTGTAGTCATTTTGATTTTTTGAGACAGGGTTTCTCTGTGTAACAGCCCTGGCTTTCCTGGATCTCACTCTGTAGACCAGGCTGGCCTCAAACTCACAGAGCTCTACTTGCCTCTGCCTCCCAAGTGCTGGGATTAAAGGTGTGCGCCACCACGGCCTAGTATCTTTGTAGTCTTAAGTAACTAGGATTTGTGTTGTCCATATTTATTACTTACAGAGCACAAAACAGACAGGCATGGTGGTTCACTCCTTACATCTTAGCACTTGAGAAGCCAAAGCAGGAAACTGCTATGGATTCCAAGCTACCCTGGGCTATAGAGTGAGACATGTCTGAAAACCAAACACTAAAAACGAAAAGTCTCAAAACCAGCATCCAACATTGGAAAGATGAAACAAAAGCTTGTTCTCCCCTAAAGAATGTCATGTCAGCATGTCCGTATGTCCATAGCTGTAAGTAGACAAGGAATATGTGTTTACATAAACAAACAAAAACCAAGCTTTCTTATTGTGTTTATGTGAAATAAATGAATGGAAAAGGAGGGTGTTTAAGAATCACAAAAACCAAAGTGGAAGTTCTGCTAATGGTGGGCAACTTTTCTCTGTCAGGACCAAAATGTCTTTGACTCCAAGAAGAAAGTAAAATTAACCAATGCAGAAGGAGTAGAGTTCAAGCTCTCTAAGAGACAGCTGCAAGCCATAGAGTTTAACAAAGCTTTGCTGGCTATGTATACAAACCAGGTAAGTAATAAGTCTGTTGCCTGGCTGACCTTGTACTACGTGGGCTTATGAGGCACAACAGGTATTTGTATGATCTGTTTTGTCTTCTTTCCTTCTTTAGTATTACGTATAAGTTTAGTAATTTTGCTAAACAAGTAATTGACCCACTTTTCTAAGCATATGGAAAGTTAGTAGCTTTATGGGAGTGGGTGTTCACTTTCCTGTTTGACTGCTGGTGATTGATCACAGACTTGTACATACTACTGAGCTACATGCCCAGCCCTTTTGTTACTTTCATTGCTAATCTTTCTGAATTAAAATAGAGTCATTGAAGACAACATTCAGATCTAAGATCCAACTTCCATTTTACTGTACATAGCACAAATTAGAAATGTTAAGGGTTACAATTCTTTCTTTAAAAAATAATTTATTTTATAATTATTATTATTTTATGTGTCTTGTCTGCATGTCTGTCTGAGCACTACATGTTTGCCTGCTGTTAGATTCCCCTAGAACTGGAGTTAGAGATATGAGCTACCATGTGGTTTCTGGGAATCGAACCCAGATCCTCTGGAAGAACAGCCAGTGCTCTTAACTGTTAAGTCATCTCTCCAGCCCCCAAGGGGTTCAGTTCTTTATCTGTATTCCTAATTATATTCTGAATTCATACATAGAGCACAAGATTCTAGTCCAAAAAGATGAGAAGCAGTAATGTTTTTATTATTTAGAGCTGAGTCAAGTTTCTTGATGTTTCAGCAAGAAATATATTTCCATGGCTTTTCTGTTCATTGTGTTGCTTTTAGGAAGAAATTCTAAATTTCATTTACCTGGAACTTAGGTTTCAGACGATCATTTAATCCAGTGGTTTTTAACCTTTCTAATGCTGTGACCCTTTAATATAGTTCTCATGTTGTGGTGACCCCCCAACCATAAAATTATTTTTGCTGCTACTTCATAACTGTAATCTTACTACTGTTATAAACCATAATATAGATATCTCTGTTTTCTGATAGTCTTAGGCCCCCTCCATGGAAGTGACATTTGACCCCCAAAGAGGGGGTCAAACCCACAGGTTGAGAATCACTGATTTAGAATTTGCTTGTTGCTTACTGCTTTTAGGACTCTCTTAACCTCAGTAACTAAAAGTTTTGTCCTTACCATAAACCACGAGATGGATGCTATAAACTGATATGTTTAACCCTACATTTTTTTTCACCTATTGTTTTAATTCAAGCTGATTACCCCTTCCCTTTATTTTGGATTATTTAATGTTTAATTTTATTAATACAGTTGTTAATAAAGGGTGCATCTTTTAGGCAGAACAGTGCCGAAAAATATCTGCCAGCTTGCAGTCCCAGAGTCCTGAGCGTCTCTTGCCTGTGTTAATCCAAGCTGCCCAGCTCTGCCGTGAAAAGCAACACACAAAAGCAATAGAGCTGCTTCAGGTAAAGACATCGAGCTTGAATGCTTAGTGAGGTATCAGGTAGTTAAAGCTGTTTCGTTACATTATAATGTGCAAGCCAGTGCATTACACTGTAACAGCCTACAAACTAAGTTCAAGTGTTGCTTTAGTTGACTTTTAAGTTACAGCTTTTTCATGTGTTGTAATGTAAATACTTGTGTAAATCCCAAAGAATGCTTTTTCATTTGGCAGTCTATACAGCATGAGTTAGAGGGTTGACCTTATAGAGGTTTAGACTTATAGTCCCACACACACTGTGCTTGACCCCCATTTCAGTGATGTATGCCTCAGTGGGTCCTACTCCATAGTCCCAGTTATGGAGATACCGACTTAGTTTTTAGCATTCTGAAACAGCTGGCATATTATGTAAATGTTATATGAGTTTCATGAGTGTAAATAGTTGAGAAGATGGACAGGATAAAATTAGGACCATTCTGAGAGAAAGTCGCCTGGCAGATACCCCCAGTGAGGAGGGAGTAGTTGAATGTTTCTCTTTAAAACAAGCAAGTCTGTGTAACAGGGATCATGACATCATAGTACCTGTAACACGAGGGCCTGCTTGTTGGGGTTTCTGTCCCACCCAGTACCCCACAGCCGGCAAATCCCAAAGAGAATCACACACAGGACTCCATAAGGTTATAAACTGATTGGCTCATTAGGTCAGGCTACTTGTTGGTTCTTATAACTGATGTTAATCCATTATTCTCATCTATGTTAACCATAATGGCTCTGTACCTTTCTCAGCTGGGCAAGTTACATGTTGCCTCTTCAGTGGTCTGCGCAGGAGTGGCAGAGGGAGTTTTTGCTTCCAGAAGACTCCCAGTCTCTTTGCTCCACCCCTACTTCCTGTCTGGCTTTCCCGCATATACTGCCTGCCTGGCCAGTCAGTGTTTTATTAAAATATGATTGACAGAATACAGACAATTCTCCCGCACCAAGTACCTACTTAGAGAGCTTGCTTTAAAGCATGGGTGTTGAATATAGTTTCTCCTAAGGTAAGATTTTGACCTGAACCAGGTTGGTAGCACACTCCATTAGTCCTGGTACCTGGGAGGCAGAGGCAGGCAGATCTCTGAGTTCAAGGCCAGCCTGGTCTACAGATTAAGTTCCAGGACAACCAGAGCTATACAGAAATCCTGTCTTTAAATAAAGAAATAAATAAGTCCAGAAACCAGAAGTTTAATACTTTAAGCTGAACTTTGAAATTTTATATAGCTGATAAGTAATTATAATCTTACAGTTGTATAAATTAAGCATGTATTTTTTTTAAATTGTTTTTGTGGAGTTATACATTTTTCTTCACTCCTCTCCCTTCCCTTCCTCCTTTCTCCCCTTTTACCCTCTCTCATGACCCCCACGCTCCCAATTTACTCAGATCTTGTCTTTTTCTCATTTCTGTGTAGATCCATGTATGTTTTTCTTGGGGTCCTCTTTGTTGTCCAGGTTCTCCAGGGTTGTGGACTGCAGGCTGGTTTTTCTTCACTTTTTGTCTAAAAGCCATGTTTAAACATGTATTTTTAACCCACAACTAAAAATATTTTAGGAATTTTCTGATCAACATCCAGAAAATGCCGCCGAAATCAAGCTTACCATGGCACAATTGAAGATTTCTCAAGGTATTAATGTTTGACTTTTAAGTTCTTTGTTCACTGGTAAAGGTTAACTGCTCTTTCAAACATACTAGACTGCGTGATGTCCAACAGATTTGAGTAGTGAGGAAATCGGCCTCATGGGTTTTTGGGTTTTCCCTGTGCTATTAGAATGATTCTCAAGCCTGAGGCTCCTGTTGCAGAGAGCACTGCGCTACATCTCCCGGACTGCCCTGTGCAGAGAGCCTGCCTCTGAGAGTGTGTGGAGTGAGAACGGGGCTCCTTCACTTTGTACTTTGCAGTATTTCATAGCTTGTTCCCTGTTTCTTGTTTACCTTGCTAAGCACAGAAACTTATCTCATATATTTGGTACCCAATAGAAGACTGTGGTTTGTTTGTGTTAATTAAGCTTGATTATTTAGAATTGAGTTGTCCAGTGTCCTAGCTGCTCTCTTCATGTAGCTATTTGAATTTTAAACTAAGAGGAACAGAATGAACTTCACAGCTAGGCATAGAGCACATGCCTATAACCCCTGCTTTCTGAAGATTGAGGCAGGAGGATTATGAGTTTAGAGCTAATCTGGGCTACATAGTAGGACCTGTTTCAGAAATGTGAGTTCTGATAGTAGCCAGCTAAAACTGCAGGTGACTGTGGGCAGCACAGTGCGTGGACCTTGACGTTACAGAAGTAGATAGCAGACAGCTCAGGTTCTCAGTGGGCAGTAGCAAATTGTCCAGAAAATTTTAGCTAGCCACAGTGGCTGAGATGAAAATTTCATGGGTTGGAGGAAAACAGTTGGCATTTAGAAAAAAGTGTAAAAAGGAAAAAGTTTAAAAAAAATGTTTTTAGTGAGGCAGTAATTGAAACAAGATTGACGATTGTTTGGGAATTAAAGATGAAATTTTGGGTTATTGAGATTTGCAGTGAGCGTAAAATCAGAATTTTAATACTAGCAGTTTTCTGTTACTCTCTAGTCTGAGTAACATTTCAAGGCCCTTTGGGAAGTCCCCGCCCCCCTTCAGGTCCATTCTAAAAAGAAGAAATGTCACTCATCAGCCTGGAGTTACAAGACTTTGGATAAAAGCTCCATAGGAAGCCATGGTTCCAGGCTGGGAGCAGTGAGAGCCTGAGAGCTGCTGTGCCGCTTGTGGAGCTGAGTGTGAATCTCCAGCCCTGCGTGCCCGAGACTCCATCCCCTGAGAGACAGGCAGATTCCAGCTGTTGTCCGTTAGAAGCCTTGTCAAACTGCAAATTTGCGATGCAGTAGGAGACCCTTGTCTCCACAGTAGCTCCAAGGAAGACAGCCGACATCCTCTTTTCCATGTTTCTGTACACAGTCGCATGCATCACCATACACTCAACACAGTTGCCAAAGCTTAGCAAGTCAGTTTCCTTAAGAACTGAGCAATGATGGGTACACCGTCCAAAGTCCCCCGTGGTTATGTAGTCAGAAATACTGCAAAATGCATTTTCCCAAGGAAAAATGGTAGAAAGTAAATTTTCTGGCATTTTTTTTTTCCACACTGTGCTTTATTCATTGTGGTGCTGGTTTTGTGTTTCATCTCCTTAGGCAATATTTCCAAAGCTTGTCTAATACTGAGAAGCATAGAGGAGTTAAAGCATAAGCCAGGCATGGTAAGTTCCCAAGTGACTCCCAGAAGACCATGAGAGGGCTACTGTCTCCATGTCTGTGCTCTCTGTGTTCTTTTATTTCTATTTCATGTATGAATAAGGCAGGACTAGCATTTAGAATGGCTCCAGTTCCTCGTCTGGGACACAGTTCATTCTGTGCTCTGGTAGTCAGCTGTACTAAATCTTGTTTAAGCCCCACATTACCCTTAAAGGGCAGTTTCAACCTCAGACCTGTATATGGATTTTTTTTTTCTTCTACCTAGATTATCATGTCATTGTAATTATTTGTTTTTTATTTTTGTTTTTGTTAAAACAACTTAAAAAGTAGTGGTCAGTAAATGTAGATTTTAGTTCTTTGTTCACATACTGCAGGTTTAAATCAGGAATGGTGGCACACACCTTTGGTCCCAGCAATCCAGAGGCAGAATCTCTTTCAGTTTGAGGCCGGCCAGAACTATAGAAGTGACCCTGTCTCAAAGAGCCAAGTTTATATAGCTCACAGTATTGGAGGTTTATCTAGGTGCGGAAGTGTCATTTTCATAATCCAGTCTTGGTTGGGTGGTGATAGACCTGCGTCTATTGAACTAAGAACGGTTTTCTTCATGTTTCTGGCTCTCACACAGCTTGGACACAGCACTGGTAATTGTACGCCATCTTCATGGTGCTTTCTCTTCATCCATATTTTAAGGCCTGTGCTACAGTTTTTTATTAGAATTATACCATTATATGACTGAAAAATCCGGCCTTTTGCTATAAGGAAAATTTGATCTGAGCTGTTGGACTTTCTGCCATAGAGGCTTTGCAAGTACTTTCTTGTTATACTCTGAACAACTGCGGGGTCTCACTGATGCTGGTGACTTGACCTAGTCAGAGTTTCCTGTTGCTGTGTTAAAATACGAACCAAAACCACTTTGGGTAGGAACAGAGTTCATTCATTTGCCTTACAGGTTACAGTAAACCAAAGAAGTAATTAAGGGAAGCCTGGAGGCAGGAACTGAAGCAGAGTCCGTGGGACACCATGTACTGGTTTACTCTAGGCTCACATTTTTTTATATTGTCTGTGACCATTTGCCCAGTGATGACCCCACTCACAGTGGACTAGGCCTGCCCACTTCAATCATCAGTTAAGAAAATGCCACACGAGCATGGCCATAGGCCAGTCGGATGCAGTCAGTGCCTCAGTTGAGGTTCCTGCTTCCTGGTGTGTCATGCTGATGTTCAAGACCGGCCGTCACACTTGTGTTATCTCTATCTGACCAGTGTGGTCAGACTGTGTCTTTAAAATGCAGCTGTTTTGTTTCCTGTCCTTGACTGTCCTTTAAGTGCACAGCACATACCCATGCACACAGATAGTGGGGGTCTCCTTGCTCCCCACAAGCTCACTGGATAAGCTCTTTATAGCTTAGGGGATGTGTGTCTTATTCCAGTTCAGCCATGCTGAAAGCTCCCTAATCACACACTTGAATGTCCAGGAAGATAGTTTGTATAAATATATCAAAAAGCTTATTTTTCATGTTCAGATCTTACAAAAATTGACACTACTTTAGAAGAAGTCCAATTTATAGATAAATGCCTTCATATTTGGAAAAGACTTTATTTTTCTAAGTATTTCTAGGCATTTATGGTGAATTAGGTACTGGCGTAGATCCCACCAATTTTTCCTTAGTGCTTAGTGTTTTTAATTTTTAAAAACTATATTCTGAGAGTGAATGGAGCGTTTTGCATTAACTTCTCCTTTGCTGGACAGGTGTCTGCCTTAGTGACCATGTACAGCCACGAAGAAGATATCGATAGTGCCATTGAGGTCTTCACACAAGCTATCCAGTGGTATCAAAGCCATCAGGTAAAGGAACGGGGTGAAGTGTTAGAAGGGTGTATTTTTTCCATAAACAAAGTATTCTCCTGAACTAAGACTTTCAGAACCCAAGTATTCTGAGTCACTCTTTTAAAAATTGAAAGCTATTAGACTCATTAATTTTTGTAAAGTGTGCCAGATTCAGATAAAATTGTTAGACATAAGGGAACAGCTGCAAGATGGAACAAAACAGCACATTCATATTTTAGACGCTCTTTCCGTGTAGGTCCACACATACACACACTCAAAAAGTCAAGCGGGGATGGCTGGTTATTAGAACAGCAGTGTCTGGAGTGAGTATGTATCATGTCTCATCTGATAGGGGCATCTTCATTGTTTTCCGGTGTCAATCTCTGCATGGGTTCTATCAGCTTACTGCCATGCATGCGTACGTACACATTACCATACACACACATTGCATTTACATGGTTATTGACTGTTAGCATCAGTTTTGGAAAGTACTGTATTGAATTAGTGTTTGAGAATGTGCCATATCTTTTATGGTTTGATTTTGAGAGTACATTGTTTTGTTTGGTTGGGTTTTTTCTGCTAGTGGTAGAGATGAACCACATCCTAGGCATCCCAGGCAAGTGCACTCACTACCAGACCTCCATTCCGGCTTGCTTATTTTTGCAGGTGACTGGATAGAAATGGACTGTTCTAGTTCTAGTTCATAAATTGACAATTACTTGTTCACATATGTAGTAAAACTTAAGATGAAGAATTTAGTGAGCAGGTCCATTTTAAAGGGCTGATAAATAGAATTTCACTGACTGGCTAGATATTTAGCTCAAGACTTTATTTTATTTTATTTTATTTTGTTGAACCTGTAGCCCAAATCCCCTGCTCATTTGTCCTTGATAAGAGAAGCTGCAAACTTCAAGCTCAAGTATGGACGGAAGAAGGAAGCAGTTAGTGACCTAGAACAGCTGTGGAAGTAAGCTCTGAAAAGTGGGAATCCACACTTTGTTTATATGAAGGGTATGTGCTTTGTTTATGTTAGTGTCAATTTTATAAACTGTTTGTTAACTTTATTTCTTCTTTTAGGCAAAATTCAAAAGATATTCACACCCTAGCCCAGCTTATTTCTGCTTACTCGCTTGTGGATCCTGAGAAAGCAAAGGCGTATCCTCTGTGCATGGCTCTCCACGGAGCACCAGAGCTCTGCTAGTACTTGTGTTTGGAATTAGAAATTTCAGCTCACAGGCTTGGTTCTGCCTAGTGAAAGCAAAAGTTAGGACTATATATCTATCAGTTGGATTGAAAAATAGTAATGAAGTGGGAAAGAGGATCACATGCCCATCACAAACAATGCTGATAGGATGATTTGGAGACAAGGCCTGGTAGTGTGTGATTTGGAGACAAGGCGCGGTAGTGTGTACCTGCAGTCCTAGCATTTGGAAGACAGGAGCATGAGAATCAGGTCATCCTTAGCCATTGGTGAGTTCAAGACTAACCCAAGTTCAAAAAAAATTTCCATATGCTGATTGGCCAGTTGTGGTCTCTGAGTGCTACTCTGATGTGGCAGTGTCCCCAGAACTGAGCTGCGTATCAGATGCTCAGAAGCTGCTAGGCATAGCCTCTGCTCTGAGACAGCCTATGCATTTGGAAGCTTGGAAATCCTTGAACTGCAGCACTACTGAGTTCCTGTTCATTTCAGAATATAGACTAGATTTGATGTGATTTGTGTTTCTGTAGAAGATTTAAGAGTATGTTTTGCTTTTGATAAGGGCCATCAGGAAAAGATGTTGGCAAAGATGTCCTGACAGACAAATTGTGTGTGTTGTGTTCCTGAACCCCTCTCCTCCTCCAGTCTTAGTAAACACTTGCCTTCATCGGATAGCATGTCTCTAAAAGTGGATGTCGAGGCTCTTGAAAATTCTCCTGGTGCTACGTACATTCGGAAGAAGGGTGGAAAGGTTACTGGAGATAATCAGCCGAAGGAACAAGGGTAATGTTTTTAATTCAAAATATTTTTAAAACATTTTCTAAGGCCTACATAATTTAAGATTATGTAAGAGAACTTTGATGATTTGGGATATGGCTCAGTTGGTAGTGCCTGCCTAGCCAGGAGGCTCTGGTTCATTCATCTCTAACATCATATAAACTGAAATAGTGACACACAGACCTGGAATACCAGGAGGATCAAGGGTTCCAGGTCATCTTTAGCCTCAGCCAGTTCCTCCATCTGAAGCTAAATGAGACCCTGTCTAAAGACAAAAACAGAAATTTCATTAGGAATAAAAACTTGAATCTTCTGTGCATGTATTTGAGTACACCTTTCATGTGTGTGCAGAGACCTTTCCACATTTCCTGAGACTGGGTCTCCTCTTGGAACTGACCTGTTCAGCTCACCTCTTCGCCATAGCTTGGTTGACTGGCTGGCCCTGGAGCTCCTCTTGCCTCCTCTTTTTGGGGAGAGTCGGGTGCCTCACTCTGTTGCCAGGCTTGGTTGGCCTGGAATTCGTTATGTAGACCACACTGACCTTGAACTCACAGAGGTTCACCTACCTCCTGAGTACTGGGATTAAAGATGGGAGTCATCATGCCCCAGCAATGAAATATTTTTTTAATGTTTTATTTTATTTTTGGTTCAGAATGAACAGAGCATGGAAGATACTAAATGTTCTTTTATAATGTTTTGTTTTGTTTTTTTTTTGGTATGTTCCTTGGTGTTTTGCCTGCATGTATATTCGTGTAAGGGTATCAGATCTCCTGGAGTTGGAGTTGTGAGCTGCCATGTGGGTGCTGGGAATTGAAAATGGAGGAGCAGCCAGTGTTCTTAACCTCTTTAACCATCTTTCCAGCCCCTATTTTCATCTTTTTAAAAGATGCCTCAAATGCTACAGTATTTCTGATTCCATTGCTTCAACTGACTTCAAATTTCAAGCTTTTGGGGACAAAATAAAAAATTTAATCTAAGTATTATGTGAATTCTAAAGTGCTATCTATTTATGTAATTTTTTTCTCTGACATAAGCGATTGGCCCTTAATTCTTTTTCTCTTAATCATTATAATACATGTTGGCTTTCTTTTAGAGATTTTGTGTGTGATTGTATGTTTTTGCACATATGTGTTCACATGGATAGGCCTGAAGATGGTGCTCAGTGTTCTCTGTCTTCATCTGGTGCGGAGTAGGGGTAGATGAGATGACTCAGAGGTTAAAGTGCTGGCTGCTCTTTCAGCGGTCCTGAGTTCAGTTCCCTTCAACCACATCATCTCATAACCATGATAATGAGATCTGGTGCCCTCTTCTGGCATGCAGGCATACATGCAGACAAAACACAAAAATGTAAGAAATAAATAAATCTTTTAAAATGAAATAAAAAGTGCAGAATAAGTGAAAGATGTCCCATCCATCCTCTCTTCTAGTGCCACGGCCAATGTAACTTATTTTTCATATCCTCCTAAAAGATTGTCTGTACATGTTCTCTGGCAGAGAGTTCTTGATTCTCTAAAATCTTGCCAAATAGTTAACTCATGAAGGCATGATAGTTTTTGTTTGTTTAACTTACTCTTAGACTTCTGTACTTTTAGGTACTTTATACACCGCTTACACTACTTACAGGATAACTGGCTTGCTGTGGGACAATGGTCTTGTACCCTGTCACTTATATTGTTTTTAATAAAACGCTGATTGGCCAGTAGCCAGGCAGGAAGTAGAGTCAGGGTGACTAGAACAGGAGAATTCTGGGAAGAGGAAAGTGTCAGTTTGCAGTTGTCATCCAGACATAGAGTAAGCAAGATGAGAATGCCTTGCTGATAAATGGTACCAAGCCATATGGCTAACACAGACAAGAATAATGAGCTAATATAAGTTATAAGAGTTAATAAGAAGCCTGAACTAATAGGCCAACCAGTTTATGATTAACGTATAGACCTTTGTGTGTTTTGTTGAGACTGAACAGCTGCAGGACCGGGCATGACAGAGACCTCAGACAACACTGGGTAATTTAGGCATGCTAGCTCTTTTCAAAGAATAGATAATATTTCTAGTGTAAAGAGTTCTACATTAAGCCTAATGTATGTCATGGTTCTACATTAAGCCTAATGTATGGTTTTCAGCCAGGCCTGGAGGTACTTCGGGAGGTTCTAGCAGGTTCGGAAGCCTTGAGGCAGGACTTGGAATTAAAGACCAATGAGGTGGCTCTGCAGCTAAAGGCCACTTGAGGGACAGTGAGGTGGCTCATAGAGGCCACTTGCCTTTCAAGTCTAATTAATAATTAGAGTTTTCCCTCCCAGAAGCCACATAATGGTGGAAGGAGAGAACCAAAGTTTCTTACCTCTAAACATGTGCCTTGACATGAGAACCCACAAACACATCACACAGACATACACACATAACAATTTTTTTTTCTTAAGGGAAAAGTTTGCAGTGTGACTGAATTGTACTTGAATTAACAATCCAGCTAGTTTAGAGCTGGCACCAAGTCGTGCATACACCTTTATGAAAATATGCCCAGCTTGCTCTTTTGCATACATGTAATGAACCATGTTCTATCACAATGATGTAATGAATCTCAATTTCTTTTTAGACAGGGAGATCTGAAAAAGAAGAAGAAAAAAAAGAAAGGTAAGATTTTAAGGAAAAAAATAGGCCGGATGGTGGTGGTGCACCACCACCCAGAGGCAGGCGAATCTCTGTGAGTCCAAGTACAGCCTGGTTTACAAGAGCTAGTTCCAGAATAGCTAGGACTGTTACACAGAGAAACCTTGTCTTGAAAAAAATACACTCTGATTTCTGTATTATTGTTTGAAATAGATTTTCAAACCTAGTTAAATGAATTACCATAGGTCCATATATTTTTCAAGTTCTAAATGTGTGGTTATTGCTATTATAGTGGAGTTTACAGAAGTTTTGCAGACTAATATTTGCATTAGTCCATTATCTTCAGAAGTCTCACTTATTCTTCATTTCTTGTCCCAGTACTTGGGTATCAGCTTACTCTTATCTGGTATGTAGACATACTTTCAGTAGCCCAATTGTGATCTTCCTATATTAGTGCCCCATTCTTTCTTTAAAATGTATCATTTTATTAGATAAAAATTATAAGTTTTTGTAAAGTTATATTTGGAAAATGTTTTCCCTTACACATGGTGGCTCAAGTCTTTAATTCTAGCACTAGGGAGGCAAAGATATAGGGATATTTGTGAGTTCCAGGCCAGCCAGGGCTACACAGTGAGACACTGTTTCAAGAGAAATTTTCTTGACATCTGAACATGGTGCATGCCTACAATCCCAGCACTCCAGAGGGAGAGGTGGGAGGATCACAGGTACAAGGCCAGCCCGGCTACATAGTAAAATCAAAAACTGACAGACAAAAAGGCTTTCTCATACTAATTTCAGTTGTGTTATTTATTCCAAGTCATGAACATGTTGTTTGAACAAGCTTGAAACTATTCTAGATATATTTCTCATTTACCAATCATTTCTAGGAAAGCTGCCTAAGAATTATGACCCAAAAGTCACGCCAGATCCGGAAAGATGGCTGCCCATGCGAGAACGGTCTTACTACCGAGGAAGAAAGAAGGGGAAAAAGAAGGACCAGATTGGAAAAGGAACACAGGGAGCGACCGCAGGGACCTCCTCTGAACTGTGAGTTGTGGCTGCGGAACAGAAGTCCCTCCGAATGTAGTTCATCTTGGAAGCTGACTCAAGTATTAGGGAGACTTTGTTTATATGCTGTATGAGAAGCACAGTCCTACAGCCTTGATCAGTATTTGCAGTATATATGAAAGGAAGAAAATACAGTGTTTGATTTTATCACAGATACAAAAACTATGTGATTTTGTTGTTAAAAACTAACTATTCTAGGAGCTGTGAGAATGGCCCAGTAGTGGAGCCCTTGCCTAGCATGTGTAAGGCCCTGGGTCTAAGCCCTAGTATTACAAACCACAGACCAGCTTAGCAATCACATTTAGCTTTGAAACTAAAGATAATGAATCATTTAATTGTGTGATAGAGAGGTGATACCTAGAAAGAAGAATTTAAAATGTGGATTTTTTTCTACATAGAATTGTAAGTCATTTAAAGTTGATTTTATAAACTTATTAAATTTGTCATGTAGCACTTATTATATTTTCTTTAATTTTAAGATGGATTAAAAATATTCAAAAGGAATAGACAGAGGTAGGGTGTACCCATCCTTAAAGTGTGTGGGAATTGGGGCTGGAGAGATGGCTCAGCAGTTAAGAGCACTGTCTGCTCTTCCAAAGGACCCAGGTTCAACTTCCAGCACCCAAATGGCAGCTCACAACTGTCTGTAACTCCAGTTCCAGGGGACCTGACGCCCATGACAAAAACATCAATGCACATAAAATTAAGTAATTATTTTTTAAAAAAAAGAATAGTAAAAATAATGTGTGGGAATTATTATGTGTGGAAAGTAAAATCCATGCACATATATGCTTATACCTTGTCCTGTATTTCTAAATGACTCAAAGCCTTTCTGGTTGGTGATTTCAGAGATGCCAGTAAAACTGTGAGCAGCCCACCCACCTCCCCAAGACCTGGCAGTGCAGCAACAATATCTTCCTCTACAAGTAACATCGTGCCCCCAAGACACCAGAAGCCCGCAGGGGCCCCAGCAACGAAAAAGAAACAGCAACAGAAGAAGAAGAAAGGAGGCAAAAGTGGCTGGTGAATACAATGTACTTGTCGCAGGCTGTTCTTAATCCAGTGCCAGTGACATTAGGAACATAATAAAGGTAACACAGCAAGAGGCACAGAGCTCCCTCCTCCATCCCCAGAGTCCTGAAGTGATTTCTTATACTTCAAGTGGGAAGACGTCCTCCTCAAACTGTCTAATCAGATTTGGCCTACTTGTACCAAATAGCTTTACAGAAGACTGAAGACTGAGCATTAGACGCGCTTTCTAAGGGTTCCCAGGATTGAAATGGAAACTAGTGTGAAGATACGTGTTCCTATTCAAGTCTCACCTTAAATTATGTCTTAGGAGGCTAAAGGTGGAATCTTCTGAGCATTCCAAGTATTTGTTTAGAGCTATCATGTGATGAAAAGGGATCTCAGTGAATGAGTGGCCAGAAAGACTCAGTGTCTAAAATAATTTTCACCATAAATCCTCTGTCCTGCGACACTGGAATTGGAGCTCTCACATGTGTGTATGTGTGCACATCTGACTGGCTCCTTTGTACCCTTGTCATTTTCATCCTCAGATTATGTTAACATGCTGATTTAGTTCCACTGCAGACCTCAAGAAGATATATCAATGTTACAAGTAGTTGTCACTTAGACCCAGCGTTCTGAGGGCAAATGGGTTTGGGCTTCTTAATCAGAACACTTAATGGCCACTATCAAGAACATAAACTTTGACTTCTTTATTTTAAGAGGAAACAGGCGGTATTGAAATTCACCAGAGCTTTTGGCCCAGCTAATACTCAGATGGCGCCCCTTCTTTATGGGACATGGCCTTTCATTACCTTCTTCAAAGTAATGTGGTTTGCAGTCGCTTTGTGGTGTAAATGTTGCTCTTGTCTTTCATGGCTAGCAGGCCACTTTCCTACTCAAACAGTTGTGAGGCACACCTGGGTGTCTCCCATGTTCAGTACTCGTTTATGCCACCACGCTATCATTCATTTTACACTTCTGTTTCCTTGTGATCACATTACTCTGTCCTTGTTAATAAAAGTGCTGCTGTGTTTGAGCATTATCTATGACACTTCTTCAGTGAGTCCTTCCAAGGCTTTCCTGCCCTATGGGATTACAGATGGGGGCAGCTGAGAATGATTTACACAGCTCTCCAGAGAACAGTCCTGGTGAGACTGAATACCTCTTATAGGAATGAGTGTCATTTAGGATTCCATTACATCTCTTTGGCCAAAGGTAATTTTCTTAAGTTTACCCACAGAATCTTCATAAGATTACTGCACTTTGAGAATTTTGGTCCAAGACACCATGGTAAGATACATACATACTCTAGTAGCAGCGATTTGTATTGTCATTGCTAAGCCACAGAAAACCTCATTTCAAATAAGTTATTTAAGTCTAAACTTCATCTGTATTAACATTCTGGTAAATATTTGGGGTACGCCTTTAAGCAGTAGTTCTGGTGTGTGTGGGTGTGCAGTATGGAAAGCATCCCTTCACTGTCACATGGAGTAAAGATGTTTCAGATGTTAAGATGTTGGCATTTATGGTGCACTTCATTACTGATATATATAAGAATTTCTTTTAAGCTAAATATCTAAAATTACCTCCTGTCCCTCCCAGCAAAACTACAAATCTGGTGGTATTGGGAGAACTCTGTTTAAACAATGCCAGTGCAGAGGCTGGAGAGATGACCCATCCGTTAAAGCGCTCGCTGTTCTCCCAGAGCGCTGAGTTCGGTTCCCAGTACCTACCTACATGGCAGCTAAGAGCTGTGTGTGACTCCTATTCCAGAGGATCTGGCACTATGTACATGCCATACACGTACACATGTGCAAGCAAAATACCCATAAACATAAAACAACAAATCTTAAGAAGAATAAATCTAGTCTATTGGTATGTGCATCACTGAACAGTAGCAAATCTTTTGATAAGTTGTTGAGCCTAGCATTTCTTTAACGTTTTAAAAAATGATTTGTTTATTCCTTGGAACTGGAGTTACAGACAGTTGTGATCTGCCATGTGGGTGCTGGGGATTGAGCCCCAGTCCTCTGGAAAAGCAGCCAGTGCTCTCACCCACTGAGCCTCTAACCTAGCATTTTCAAGGTAACTGAAGACAGCTGACCTTAAAGCCTGTCCATCACTCAAGCCTTCTGGAACTCGCCAGCTTTCCTTGCCAGCTTATTTGAAACATCTGATGAAAGAAAATCAATTTCATGTAGAAACTAAAGTTTTCCATACGGTGGGGGAGGAACAGGGTCTCTACATGGTAGCCTAGCATTAAAACTACTGTGTAGCTTCAGTCTGGACTAAACTCAGGCCGTCCTCCCTCAGCTGCCCCAGTGCTGGGATACAGGCACCAGGCACCCATGTCCTGATGCTACAGGATGGTTTTTTTTTGTTTGTTTGTTTGTTTGTTTTGTTTTGTTTTAACTGAGCAGGAACCTGGGGCCTTGACTCAGCAAGCACTCTCTCACCACTTAGACCCCACCCCTAAAATCCCACCTTGCTAAAATGTGAAATATTCCGAGCTCCAACAGAAAATAAGAGAACCATGAGTTACTCGACTAAAGAAACATGCCACCTCAGTCAGGGTGCGTAAGTCACTCCGCAGTGATTGGGAACGGGATCCTTAGGTTTTGCCATCTGTCCCCTGCCGTCAGGACCTGCTATCTCTATCCATAGCTGTCAGTGCTGAATAGCAGCAGTTTTTGTTCCTACCAGTGGAACTCACGTGGATGGGAGCAGGGAGATGTGTAGCCTGTGTTCTGGGGTGGTGGGGGAAGGTGGAGAGTCTTCTAGGGACTCTGGTGCCTTAGGCGTTCCTTAGTTAGCACGGACTGGCAGAGCAAATTGGAGGTTGACGCTGGGTTGCTGAAACTCAGCATTTATCCAGCACTGTCAAATCCTGTCTTTGTGCGCTCTGGAGCAAGGGGTACCCTTATAAGACTTCCAGCAAAAGCAGTCAACCTTGCCTGTTTCTCCCGTTCTCTGTTGAGGATCACCAGGTTCCCTTAGACTGGGCATCCTAGCATTCACGCCTTTCCCGGTCACTCCTTCAGGCTCAAGTTCGACCAATCAGCCGCCAGCTCTATTCCAGCTAAAGCAAGATGCCAGACTGACAGCTGCGCTCACTGGCGCGGCCTGCGACCCTGTGACCGCAGGTGTGGCCTACGCCTTCAGGACCTACGTCTCCCTTGAGCCCCCACACCAGGGCAACACCTGCCAGGATCCAGGGCCGCGGCTCCTGCGCGCTGGCGCGCGGGAGAGAAGGGAAACAGCGGCGGTGGGGATGGAGAGAGGGAAGGCGAAGGAGAGGGACAAGTTTTCTTCTTCGAGTAGTAGGGAATCGGTAAAAGAGAAGGAAAAAAGAAAAGATGTGGAAGTAAAAAGCAAAGGGAAAGAGATAGGGAAGGAAGAGGAGAAGAGGAAGTCTGTAGAGGTGAAAGTCAAGGGGAAAGAGACAGGAAAGGAGGAAGAGAAAAGGAAGGATGTAGGTCAGAAAAGCGACAGCGGGAAATCGAAGGAAGAGGAGAAAAGGAAAAGTGTGGACGCAAAAATCAAGGAGAAAGGGAAGGAAGATGAGAAAAGGAAAAGTATGGAGTTGAAAATCAAGGAAAATGGGAAGGAGAAAGGGAAGGAAGAGGAGAAAAGGAAAAGTGTGGACGCGAAAATTAAAGAAGACGGGAAAGATAAAGGGAAGGAGGAGGAGAAAAGGAAGAGTGTGGACGCGAAAATCAAAGAGAAAGGGAAGGAAGATGAGAAAAGGAAAAGTGTGGACGCGAAAATCAAAGAGAAAGGGAAGGAAGATGAGAAAAGGAAGAGTATGGAGTTGAAAATCAAGGAGAAAGGGAAAGAAGAGGAGAAAAGAAAGAGTGTGGACTTGAAAATCAAAGAAAACGGGAAAGACAAGGGGAAGGAAGAGGAAAAAAGGAAGAGTGTGGACATAAAACTCCAGAGGAACGGGAAAGAGAAAGAAAAAGAAGAGAAAAAGAAAAATGTGGACGTGAAAAACAAGGAGAATGGGAAAGGAAAGGAAGTCAAGGAGGAGCAAGGGACGGAGAATGAGGAGGAACGGGTCAAAGAGAGCAGCAACACCTCAATTAAAATCCTGTACCCGCCGCCGCCGCCGCCGGTAAGAGACCTGGGATCCGCCTCACCTCCGAGGCCGTTGTGGGCATCCAGACCCGCCGGCTCTGTTACGTCGCCCCCGAAGTACGCAGAGAACTGGGTCTTGTCCGAGGGCGTCTGTCTATGGATGGCGGGTGTGTGTGTGGGGGGGGGCGCCAAGGTTCGAACTTATCCCCCGTCCCCAACTTCACCCCTTCCGGCATCCCCAGATCCTACCAGTTATTGTCTAGAGTGGAAAGACCAGGGATCTTAATTGGTCCTAGTTGAACGCAGGGACCGGATCCTGGCTCTGTCCCAGCGCTTCATACCAGGTGCAGACCACATAGACAATGCTGAAAGCAGCACCGAATCCTCTTCCTAGCACGTGAAGTGAATATAGTCTTTGTTGGAACAGAAAGGGTTCCTGGACACGATGGGTACCTGGTGTGTTTGGGAGCTCCAGGTTCTTTTCCGCGGGCGTTGTAGTTCCGGTTTGCATGGCTTTCAGAACTTGTGCGGTAGAGGGGAGGGACGCAGATTGGTCTCAGAACCCCAGGCATTGTTTTGGTCAGAAATGACTCTGTCGCTTGGTGTTCCCAGTTTCTTGACTGGCTCCTTGGCTCAGAGCCGCTTTCTACTTCTGAACAGTGGGAATTGTTAACAGAGACTTGATCCCTGGAAAAAGCACAGACTCCACAGAACCATAGGTGATGGAAGAAATAACTATTGACAAGAACAGTGATGTTCAGAATTAGATTTGAGTATTTACCTAGCAGAGTGGTTTTCCCAGGGCAAGGCTTCTCCCTTGCACTCTGGATACAAAGGCCCCTGCGATTTCCCCTAATTCGAGGTACTGCGTAATTTCTGGTAGTTGTGGACTAGGGCTAGATAAACATAGAATCCAGGACTTCAGCAGTAAACTACCATTGAGCTACACCACCTCAGCCCAAAACTTATAGTGTAGACTAAAGTATAAGCAGAACGGAAACCAAGAGTGAGTGTGGAATTTCTAGGGAAGATAGGCCGGGGGCGTGGTTAGGAGCAGGGGACAGATTTTAGCACAATATTTTCCTAAGACTTCGGATACAAGACTGTCAAAATACGACCAACTGGTATAAACTATGCCCTCATTTCAGCAGCGGGGGTAGTCTCCTTAGAATTGGTAGAGTAGGTTAGGGTAGCTTGGGTTGGAATCACAGTGGTAATTGTAGGGGACATAATCCACACCCCGCAGCCATTTCTTGGTGCCTCTGTTCCTTTAAAGAGTGCAGTTTGTACAACTTCCGCTGTCCCATTCCTTACCTTAGCGTATTCTCAGAACGGCACTGTAACACTTAGAACGGGAACGGAAGTAAGGACTTAGAATTTCATACCTAATGAGGTATGAAATAGTCGTGAGAATCCCAATTCCTTAGGGCTAGGAAGTTGGCTCCGTGGGTGCAGTGTGGCTGGAGAACTTGAATTTGGATCCCCAGCATTCATGGAAAACCTAAGTACCAACCTCTGGCCTAGCCACGCATACACAAACAGAGATTCAGGTGAGTGTGCCAGAATACACCAACCAAAAGATAATTTTTTATTTTTTTGTTTTTATTTTTTGCTCCAAGAATAAAAAACTCAGAGGCCTTTATAAATCATGCTTTTTACATTTAGTCCCTGTTAGGCCATAACTTAAAACTTCTTTCTTTCACACAGATTCTTATATTTTTTTATTTTTTTTAAGCAGATGAGCGTGTTTCACTTCCAGCACTAGGGATATCAGGGCCGTTCTGGGCTATCAAATCAGACTCAAAGAGCTGCACTAGAGATTCTTGGTTTTTCAAGACAGGGTCTCTCTACATAGCCCTGGCTGTCCTGGAACTCACTCTGTAGACCAGGCTGGCCTGGAGCTCACAGAGATCCGCCTGCCTCTGCCTCCCGAGTGGGATTAAAGGCATGCGCCACCATGGTAATACTATTTAAGATCACCTTTTGAGTTAGGTGTGGTAGTTCGCATCTTTAACCCGCAGAGGCAGGGAGATCTGTGAGTTCAAGGCCAGCCTGATCTACGTGGTGAGTTCCAGGCCAAGCAGGGCTACATAGTAAGAGCGTGGCTCAAATCAAATAACAAGATGGTTTTCTGGTTGGGGTTGAAAAACTCACCTAACATGTTCAAGTTCCTGAGTTTGATCCTCAGTGCTGGCTGTGATAAATTAATCAATTATACTTTTTAGTTTTCAGATAGAATAAGTAGAATTGCATAATTACTTTATTATTGTTATTACTTTAGAAGAAGTAGTATTAACAATAACTGCTAGTGTTTTGTTATTTGGGTTTTGTTTTGTTTTTAGATAATCATTGCTTGCATTATAGAAATCACATCTCTGAACACCTTGAACTATTTCTGTATTCACATTGACCTTCCTTTCTGTTCATTTGTTTATTGTTTGTTTTTCAAGACAAGGTCTCGCTATGTAGCTCTGGCTGCCCTGGAGCTCAATATGTAGAGCAGGCTGGCCTCAAACTCACAGAGTGCTGGGGTTAAAACCGTGAGCTCCTTTCTGATCGTTTGTGATGAAAATCTCTAAAGCTAGAATGATAGGAGAAAGCTGTTTTTGAAGTTTGCTTCCAAATCTCCAAGTTTAATGTTGGACTTTATAAAAAACAAATACTCCTTTTTTATTGAGACAGGTTTGACAATTCCTATAGCCTTAGCCTTTCTGCTTAATCATGATACTTGTATCAAAAACATAAGTGAGAGCAGGGTGGTGGTGGTTCACGCCTTTAATCCCAGCACTCAGGAGGCAGAGGTAGGTGGAGCTCTATGAGTTTGAGGCTAGCCTGGTCTACAGAGTGTGTTCTAAGACAGCCATAGTTGTTGCAGAGAGAAATCCTGTCTCAAAAACAAACAAACAAAACACAAGAGAGGACCTTTGTCCTAATATTTTGGCGCTAAATTATTCAACTGCTAAGACAAGACAAATAAGAGTCCTTAAAGGCTTCCATGCTGGGTGCCACACTTGTGCCATCAACAGCTCACTCCAGTGCAGTTACCAGTAGATGATAATTCCAGGTGCAAAACGGGGTCTGTAATATGAGGGCCGGGCTTGTTGGGGTATCTGTTTCCTCCCGGTACCCCACAGCCAGCAAGTCCCAGAGAAAATCAATCACACAGAAATCTCTATAAGTTATAAAGCTGATTGGCCAATTAGGTCAGGCTACTTATTAGTTCTTATGACTTATCTTAACCCATTATTCTGACCTATGTTAGCCATATGGCTTGGTACCTTTTTCAGCTGTCAGCTCACATGTTGCTTCTTCAGTGATCTGGGCAGGAATGGCAGAGGGAGCTTCCTCCTCCCTAGCCTTCTATTCTCATTGCCCCGTCTCTACTTCCTGTCTGGTTAACCTGCCTCTACTTCCTGCCTGGCCAATCAGTGTTTTATTAAAATACATGATTGACAGAATACAGACAATTCTCCTGCACCATTTCCCTCTTTTTAAAAAAAAAAAAAAACAAAGGAAAATACCCATAGTCCATTTGTTGGGAATGTGGGCATAGTATTTCAGGCTACTTCCTGCTGGTTGGGGGTGCTGATGATCTTATGGGGACCTAAAGAAAATTTAGAGTTATAATCAAGTCCTGACTGGAGTATCCTGTGAGTCTCGATCACCTCAGGCAGCAATCTGTTCTGGATGTAGAATTCAGACATCCAGGCCATCTATTCCTACTAGAGATTTCTCGGGTGGTCTTCCTTGATCAAATCTGATTTTTCTTAGCTCAGAATGAATCCACAGCCTCTCATTTTCTGTGGAAACAAAAGCAAAATCTCTTCTCCAAAGTAGCATACCTTTTGACTTCAATTTTGAAGCCAAGGTATTTTCAAAATATCTATCTTGGATTAATCCAACAGCATTTATAAGCAAATATCTTTTAGCAGCTGTTGCTCCTTCTTCAGCATTCAAACAATTCAAAGAGAGCATAATAACACAAAGTATTAAGATTCTCTGTGCATTTTCCATCTTCATGCAGCTTTATTTTAACCTCTATTTCTTTTATTTTTTTCTTTTAACTTTTGGCTTTTTGAGACAGGTTCTTTGTATATATCTTTGTCCTGGAATAACTCTGTAGACCAGGCTGTCCTTGAACTCACAGAGATCCCTCTGTCTCTGCCTCCCCAGTGCTGGGCTCAAAGGTGTTTGCTACAACTCCTTGAACTCACAGAGACCTGTCTTCTGTGCCTCCCAGGAATTGGGATTAAAGGTGTGTGCTACCACACCTTGAAGTCACAGAAGTCAATCTACCTCTGTCCCTTGAAGTCACAGAGGTCAACCCATCTCTGCTTCCGGGGCATAGGTATTAAAAGTGTGTACTACCACACCCAACTACTCTCTTTCTTTCTTTTTACTTTAAGAACTTTAACTTTTATCCTGCATATATTTTTAACACACTGTAAACCATTAAGAGGTTTTCTTTGTCTTTGAATCTCTCTTTACTGTATGTCTCTCTTTTTCTGACCACATGAGTCTTTAAGAAGAGGATGAAAGCCATGGCTTTGACGGCTAGATCCAGCCCATTCCTTAGCTTTCCAGCCTCATGGCAGAGGTACCGCCAGAGCCATTTTTATCGTCACAACTCTACAGTGTTTCAAGGTCCCTGCCAGAAAGCAAGCTGTAGCATTCTACTCACAGACCACACTCAGTCAGACTGCCTGCCTGCAAGAGTCAGAGTTTGTCCTGGCAGGACAGCCCAGAAAGCCGGCATTTTAAAACAGCGCAGCTTTTTTTCCTGCTACAGTTGAAAGCCAAAAAGCATGCATTCAGCTTTTCACCAACACCGTTTAAGTGTTTCGTGGCAGGACCTCTTAAAAGAGCTGCAGGGTTTTGCAGCTAAAGCTGAGTCAGGAAGCTTCTCTTAGATGAGAGCCTTGCTTGCCTCTAGCAAGCAGAGCAGACCTGAGAAATTGCTGCTACCAAGAAAACATGCTTTACTCTATTCTTTTCCAAGCTTTCTCAAGCTTTCTGTGGATTCAGTTATCCATGTGGGTGCCATCTGTAACATGAAGGCCAGCTTGTTGGGGTTTCCGTCCTGCCCAGTACCCCACAACCGGCAAGTCCCAAAGAAAATCACAGAGTCTACATTAGGTTATAAACTGATTGGCCCACTAGCTCAGTCTTCTTATTAACTAATTCTTACATCTTACAGTAACCCATAATTCTTGTCTGTGTTAGCCATGTGGTTTGGTACCTTTTTCAGCTGTCAGTTCACATGTTGCTTCTTCGGTGGTCTGGGCAGGAATGACAGAGGGAGCTTCCTCCTCCCTAGCCTTCTATTCTCATTGTCCCGCCTCTACTTCCTGTCTGGTTGACCCACCTCTACTTCCTGCCTGGCCAATCAGTGTTTTATTAAAATACATGATTGACAGAATACAGACAATTCTCCTACACCAGGGGTCCTGAGAAGGCTCGGCAGGTAGAGATGTTTGCTTTAGGGCCAACAACCTGAATTTGATCCCCAGGACTCACATGGTAGAAGGAGAAAACCAACTCCTGAGAATTGTTCCTTGACCTCCATATGCATGCTGAGGTGCCCCTGTGCATGAATACACACACACACACACACACACACACACATACACACACACACACACACACACACACACAATATGGAAAAAAAATCTGGAAATTGGTCCTGGTATCCGTAGATCTATGACACTGCATGGCACGTAAATTCTAAGATGTGTGTTCATGTGCATGTGCTGTGTGAGTGTGTGTGTGTGTGTGTGTGTGTGTATGTATGTGTACATGCGTGCATGTGTGTGTGTTTCCATATATTTGTTGTTTGATAAGCTGACAGGGAATTGGACAATAGAAAAAGGACCTGGGATGACATCACAGAAGTAAGGGTAGTTCTGGTTTAGACTGTTTAGCAATTCCATGGTTACAGTTAAGTCCTAACAGGTCAGGCACACTGTCAGAAGCCAGCCACACACAGCCCCGATAGCATGAGTTTACTGATCGATTTTTTTATTTCAGGAGAAAAGCAAGCAGATCCTAGTACTAGGCCTGGATGGAGCAGGAAAGACCAGCGTCCTCCACTCACTGGCTTCCAACAGAGTCCAGCACAGCCTGGCACCTACCCAAGGTTTCAATGAAGTTTGCATCAACACTGAGGACAGGCAGATGGAGTTCCTGGAGAGTACGTTCCCCTTCTCATTAGCATCCATCTTAAGCCAGAAGCAGTGTTATCTACTGACATTGTGATCTTGAGAGAAGTGGCGCGGGATGGAATTCTTTTACACTTTAGGAAGACGCATGGTTTAATACTTAGGTGCTCGGGGTGGGGGCTGGGGAATCCACTTTCTGCTGTTTCCATTTTCTCCCGTTTCTGTAGTGCTGGCAACAAAGGAGGCTTAGAGGGAGGCTAAATTTAGCATACCCTCCCGTGATCTGTAATCATCCTTCGCCGTCCCTCACTGCTGCAGAAACACCGCCACCTAAGCAACTATAATGGGTGTCCTTCTCAACAACAAAACCGGACGCAGTCCCAAACCCCTTCTAGTAAGCTGACGGTCCCAGTCTCTACCATAGGGCAGTACTGCAGTTCCTAATAACGCAGTTCCCAAAGTCAGGGCAGGCCTCCAGTCTTCCCTCTACACACTCCCACACAAGACTTTTATCCTCATGACCCTAAATATCTCAGAGGCACCCAGAATTATCTAAGCAGTTCAAGCATGTCCAGATGTCTTTTGCCACCTCCACTTGAACTCCCACTTGGCCTTTGAGACTTACTGTGGTCACAAAACAAAACAAGCAAAGCAAGCATGATTTATCCCCTGTCTGTTCCTTTTCCCGTTGTCCATGACCAGGGCATGGAGGCTGCTCTTCTACTAGGTGCTCAAGGGGGACCCCGGGCACCACCCCGACAGTCTTTCTCTACGGCATCATTCAGCAAGTCAAGCACTGAGGTTTTCCGTCTCCAAAGCATGCATCAGATGTCTAAGTTTTGTCCTTTTCAGCTCCCACATGAGAAGAACCTGCCCTTCTCTTCTCTTCCCAGGCACCAGTTGTGAAATCTTTGCTTTGGTCCGGTCTCAAAGACCACTGTTTTAACACACTATTCAAGCAAAGCATTTGCTAGTTTAAAAAGCCTTAACGATTGGTTTATCCAGTTCTAGATAATTCTTAGCTCAAAGATAAAGTGTTATGGGAAAGTGAAAAAGATGGAGGACTGAGGCATTGTTAAAAACCCCAGTGAAGCCAGACATGGTGCTACAGACCTGTAATCTGAGCGCTTGGGAGGCTGAGGCAGGAGAATCATGAGCTAGAGGCTAGCCTGGACTACATAGTAAGACCTTGCTTCAAAAGCTTCAGAAACAATGACAAAAAAAAATCTACTGGTCAAAAGGAGCAGGCCAAGAAAGTGTTGAAAAAAGAGAAACAATAAAAACAAAGGGGAGGGTGAGAAAACCACTAAGAGACCAGTGGAATGGGGAAGGAAGACCCAACAGCCAAGTCAGAAAAGCCCAAAAGTAGTGTGTCCAAAACATAAACTAAATAGACAGACCTCTGGTAAAACTTATCAAAGCACAAATAAACAATACGGCTGAAAAACCAGCTCGTCACCGATTCCACTGACAGGAATGTAGCATTCCCATGAATGCTTAAATGGTTTTGCTGGGTAGAGAGATGGTTCAGATAGCAAGTGCTTCTCTTGCTGAGAACCTGAGTTCAGTTCCCAGCACCCATGTCAGGCAGCTCACAATTGCTTATACCTCCAGCTTCAGGGGACTCAGTGCCCTCTGCTGGTCTATGCACAATCACATAAACACATGGCATACATTCACAAGGATACTCACACACATTCATAAAAATAAGCATTCAAAATTATTTTAGAAGCCAGGCATAGTGGGCCATGCATTAACCCAGCACTTGGGAGGCAGAGGCAGAAGCAGGTGGAGCTTGTGACTTTGAGGCCAGTTGGTCTATATAGTGAGTTCCAGGATAGCTAGATCTACATAGTGAGATCCTCTATCCATCCATCTGTCTACCTATCTATCTATCTACCTACCTATCTACATACTTATATGTCTGTCTATCATCTATCTACCTATCTACCTACTTTATCTGTCCATCCATCCATCCACCTACCTACCATCCATCCATCTATCTATCTATCTATCTATCTATCTATCTATCTATCTATCTATCTATCTACACACACATATTACTAGAGTGACACACAATTCAGTCTACCATCTTCCATTTTCTTAGTACCTTATGCCTGTTTTTATCAGTTATCCTGGATGAGCAAGCCGTAGCTGGCAGTTCTGTGTCTATATAGCAAAGGGAGACATCACTGGAGTATTTAGGATCCCAATACTGATACTTTGTTTTTAATTTTATCTTTGTGTAAGACACCGTCTTGCTGTGTTGGTTGGCAGGCCTCCAGCTCACAACAGACCTCCTCCCTCACTATCCTGAGTGCTGGAATTATAGGCATGAGCTGACTGGCCTGGCTTTTCACGCTGATTCTTTGCGATGAGTGATCCACCTCAGAGAAACAGTTATTCCCATTGACCAATGATTTCCTCAGTAACATTCTTCTGGCCACTCAGAGTTGCCTACAGTCTAACTCAGTGACATTCATCAGAGCACCTGGTCAGTGTGTCCTAGAGTCCCCCTTGGGGGCCATCCCTGTGATTTTTAATTCACTCATTCATTTGTGACTCCTTCCTCTCCCATTCTCTGCAGTTGGTGGCAGTGAGCCATTCCGCGCCTATTGGGATATGTACCTGCCTAAGGTATGGCTGCTGATCTTTGTGGTAGACTCAGCTGATCGCAAGCGATTGCCTGAAGCCAAGAAATACCTTCATCAGCTGATTGAGTCAAACCCAGAACTCCCTCTGGTTGTGTTTGCCAACAAACAGGTAAAAAGCTGTGCAAATCGGGTGGTAGAGCACCTTGCCTCGCCTTCAGGCAAGTCCACACCAAAACTAGGTTAATGGAACCTACACTCAATAGTTTCATTATTAGCACAGGCATGTCTTACTTTAATAGGTAGATAATCAACAATATACTGTGTATTCAATCTATTAGGTCTCCTGGCTTATACACTCTTTCGATGTAAATACAATTGTCTTGTGTCCTTTAAGTACTTGAATTACCTAGTCTGTTGCCTCATGGAACTGAACCATGTCTATTGAACTTATTTCAATAAACCAATATTGATTGTTGATTGAATTTGACACAATTTTGAGTGGCTTCTATGTATACAAAAAGTTTTATTTTAGATCAGTTACACTTGACTGATTTTTTTTGGTGCTTGTATCAAAAGCAATAAACGTCCAAGGAGAAAGCTTGAAGCTTTTGCACTGACTTTGGAAGTGCAAACAACTATGAAAAAAAGAAACACAACAGAATTCCTGTATGATGCAGCAATTCTACGTTTTATATATATATATATATATATATATATATATATATATATATATATACCCCAGATAAATGAAACCAGGGAGCCAATCTGCTTTTGTACACTTATGTTCATGACAGCATTATTATTACAACAGCCGCAGGTTAGAGTTAGAAGGGTCTGTCCGCTGATGAGCGCATAAGTAAACGTGGTGTGTTCTTACTTTAGCCTGCAGAGGGAAGGAAGTTCTACCACATGCAACCACACGGATGGACCTGTGGATACTATCCTAAATGAATGAGCTAGCCACAGAGGGACAGATGCTGTGTGGTTCTGCATATAGAGCGTCTTCCCAGAGTCAACTCTGCAGTGGACCAAATGGAACTGTGGTTGTCAAGGGTTATAGGAGGGAGGAAAGTGGGGTTAGCTTAGAACAGCTAGAGCTTCCATCTAGCAACATGAAGAGTTGATAGTGATGGTTTAAACCACTGTGAATGCATTTAATTCTACTGAATTGCACACTAAAATGGTAAATTTTGTTATGCGTTATGTGCACTACTATGGCGATGATGACAATGATGATGACCACACACACACACACACACACACACACACACACACACACAACGTTTAGGTTTCCAAACACTGTAACAGTAATTCTCTTAATTTCTAGGTTTGCCAACCAAGAGCTCAATGCCTGCCTTCCCTTATGTCTTCTATGGGTGGGATGTTCATGGAAGCAAATAGGAACCTAGACTGACATCAAGAACAGAGACTGGTCCAGCACATTTTGACACTGTATTGGCATTTCAAAAGGAAAGGTTGATGATTTGTTTTTTGTTTTTAAGTGAAGTATCTTAAAACTACAAAGGCTCAGGGCCTGAGAGATGTAGTTCAATGATAGTGAATCTGCTGAGCATAGGAGAGGTCCTGGGTTTAGTCCTAGCAGCGGGCGAGGGAACTGCAAAGACTTACAAGTTCCTGTACTCACATTTGAACTGTGTAGTGTGCTGGTGGACTCTAATCTGGCCTTTCTCTTGTTGCCGGTCATTTTCATTTTTCCCAGTTGTTTACTGTTACAATGTTGCAGTGAGCTTTCAAATGTGTGCACCCTTGAATACATGGATGTGTGTTTCTCAAGTGTTCGGAAGTGCTAGGTTTTTGGATTTGCAAATAGCTTTACTGGATATTCCTAAATCGCTTTCCAAAGTCGCACTAGTTTACTCTTCCATCGGGAGATGACAGTTATTTGAAGCTCCACCCCCTCATTGGGACTAGCCGTTGTCACGTTGTCACAACCGTTTGTTTTGCCAATGTGTTGTTCTTATGATCCTTATTTATTTGAAGTGTTTATTGCTGGCTGAGCCCTACATCTGTGGGTGTCCTGTTTGCTCATGTTTTCTCACCTCTGATTCTTCCTCTGGGAGAGGTGCTGGGAATGAGAGCTGAGGTCTTGTCTACTAAGCATACCATTTACCACAAAGATGGGCTGGAAGCCTCTACCTTTCCTGTGTGATCTGTAAGGGTACTTAATATCTTTTGCAAAATTCCCTTGTTGGTTATATGCATCATTAACATCTTCTCCAGTATCTCAGTGATTATCATTTTGCTTTGCTTATGGTTCCAATTTTTATATTAGAGACTCCCATTTCCCTTTTAAGACATAGTTCTGCATAGGTCTCTCTATATGGTTCTGACTGTCTTGGAACTTGCTCTGAAGACCAGGCTGGCCTTGAACTCACAGAGGTCTGCTTGTCTCTGTTTCCTGAGTACTGGGATTAAAGGCATGTGCCACCACAGCCTGGCGAGATTTTCCTTTTTAATTATCAAATTTATCCATTCTTTCCTTTTGTGGTTTGTGTGTCTTGTCTCCATCAAATTGAATAAACAAAGCTATTTATTGTCAAATTGAAAGTGTTTTGTTGTTTGTTTGAGACAAGGTATGTCACCATGTAATCTTGGCTGGCCTGGAACTCTCTATATAGACTGGGCTGGTCTTGAACTCAGAAATTTACCTGCTTCTGCCTCTTGAGTGTTCAGTATACCACTATACCCAGCTAAATTGAAGACTTTTTGTTTTACCTTAATGATAAAAGACTTAGCTATTCTTTTTTTAATTAAATTTATTTATTTATTTATTTTACATCCCAACTAAAGTTTCCCCTCCCTGTTCTCCTCCCACCTCCCACCCCCCACCAACTCCACCCCAATCCACTCCTTCTCCATTTCCATTCAGAAAGGGGCAGGCCTCCCATGAGTGTCAACAAAGAACAGCATATCAAGTTGAGGCAGGACCAGGCTCCTCCTCTTATAATAAGGCGGGGCAAGGCAACCCAGTATGAAGAATAGGTTCCTGGTAAATGTTAGGGACAGACTCTGTTTCCACCACCAGTCGGCCCACGAGCAGATCAAGCTACACAATTGTCACACTGTAGAGGGCCTAGGTTGGTACCATGCAGGCGCCCTAGCCATTGGTTCAGAGCCTGTGAGTTCCTATGACGCTAGGTTAATTGTCTCTGTAGGTTCTCCCATGATCTTTACAAACCACCTAGCCTCCCACCCCAAGGCCCATCCCTTCCTTCTCCTACTCCCCCCCGCTCCTCTATCCCCGCCCCAGCTTGTACAATCCCCTCTCCCTCTCTTTGATAAGATGAGCTTGGCTCAGTGCTTGGCTGTGGATCTCTGCATCTATGTCCATCGGTCACTGGATGAAGAAGGCTCTCTGATGATAATTGAGATTGTTACCCATCCGATTACAGGAGATGACCAGTTCATGCTACCCATTCACCATAGCTAGGAGTCTTAGCTGGGGTCATCCCTGGGAGTTTCCCTTGCACCAGGCGTCTACCTGACCCCCAAACGCCCCACATTAAGATGTCTCTTTCATTAATTTCCCCCTCCGCTAACGCCCCCCAACTCAGTCTCTTAAGTTCCCATCCCCACGGGCCCACAGTCCACCCAGGAGATTTCTTTCTATTTCTCCTTCCCAGGGAGATCTATGTGTCCCCCCTCTTGGGCCCTCCTTGTTATCTAACATCTCTGGGACTGTAGACTGTAGCATAGTTATCCTTTACTTTATAGCTAATATCCACTTATGAGTGGATACCATCTTTGTCTTTCTGTGTCTTGGTTACCTCACCCAAGAGGATTTTTTTTCTAGTTCTATTCATTTGCCTTCGGATTTGCTGATGCCTTTGTAACAGTTGAGTAATAATCCATTGTGCAAATGTATCACATTTTCTTTATCCATTCTTCAGTTGAGGGGCATCTAGGTTGTTTCCAGATTCTAGCCCTGATGAATAATGGTGAACATAGTTGAGCAAGTGTCCTTGTGGAATGATTGAGCATCCTTGGGTATATAAGTCTTAGCTATTCTAACTTAATGCATATTTGCTTATATTCTTTTGTCAAAATATTTAGTCTTTTAGACGAATCACTAGGTCAACATGTTACATCAGGGTTTTCAAAAGGTTCTCTTAGCTGGGCATGGAAGCTCATACCTGTAATCTCAGCAGTGGGGAGCAGAGACAGAAGGATTGCAAGTTCAAGGCCAGCCTGGGCTAGATAGGGAGGCCTTGCATAGGAAAAATGTTATCTTATTTTCTTTATTCTTTGGTTATAATCTCAATTCCTACCCATACTCCCTCTTCCCTACATCTTCCTTTATACTTTCTTCAGTAGATGTATTAACCTGAGACATCATCTTTATACTATTGTATCCATTACTCTGTTACAGACGTCTATAAGGGCTCTATGAATAACAATATGTGATTACCGACACCCAGTCACCATACATAGCCCACCAGGGGGAACCTCATAGACTTCCAGGGCTGTGGAGCTAAGACAACATACATGGACCTCCATACATCCCACCAGTTTGTATAGCTTTTTGATCTGAATAAATAATAATAGCAACAAAGAACTCACAGGTGATAAGTATGAAAATCAGCAAAACATGATATGGGCAAAAAGTAATTGATAGCTAGGCAGTGGTGGCACACACCTTTAATCCCAGCACTCAGAAGGCAGAGGCAGGCGGCTCTCTATGAGTTTGAGGCCAGCCTGGTCTACAGAGTGAGTTCCAGACAGGCTCCAAAGCTACAGAGAAATCCTGTCTCGAAAAAAGTAAAAAAAAAAAAAAAAAATTTAAAAAAAGTAATTGATGAGTAGGATATGATGCACCTCTAACCCCAACAGGTGCATGACTCAAAAGTTCAAACCCAGCTTAGGTCTCATGGTATGTCTCTTTAAGAAAGCCAACCAACTCCTCCCACTAAGGCTCAGGGAACAAAACAGATTGGGGGTGGGAATGACTGCAGGAGCCAGAGACCAGCCAGGACCAAACAAAACAGGGTCTTCCAGTTGCACGCATGTACTCACTCATGGCAACCAGCATTTCAACATGGAGTGAGTAAGGGTTCATGAGCCCCTCCCCCCCAGCTGAGGAGCTATGGACAATTGATGGCTTCTGGGCTAGGGAGAGTCAGTGTTCTCTAAAGATATGGCCTCTATAGGTTGACCACCCTCCAGTGAATGATCTCATTCATACCCACAACTATACAGGCAACGCAAATTGGATTTAGTGAGTTATAAAAAGAAAAGGAAACATATAATTGAGAGAGGGCATAGGGCTGAGGTTGGAGATAAAGGAATTTGGAGAAAAGTAAGGAGGGGATATAATCAAAGTAAATGGTGTGCCTGTATGAAATTCTCAAAGAAAAAAAATAGTACATTAAAAGCAATCAAATGCATGGTGGTGGATGGCTTTAATCCCAGCCTTTGGGAGGAAGAGGCAGATGGATCTCTGGGAGCTCAAGGCCAGCCAGTTCTACAAAGCGAGTTCCAGGACAGCTAGGACTGTTACACAGAGGAACTCTGTCTCGAAAAACAAAACAAAACTAATCAAACAACCAGATAAAATGATGAATGATATAAATTCTTAATAGTTCACCATATTAAATTATCTTAAATAATTTAAATAATTAAAATAAACAGATTGATGGTATCTCTTAGAAAATTCAGTCCTGCCAGGTGTTGGTGGCATACACCTTTATCTCAGCACTCAGGAGGCAGAGACATGCGATCTTTGAGTATGAGGCCAGCCTGGTCTACAGAGTGAATTTCAGGATAGTGCAGGTTACACAGAGAAACCCTGTCTCAGAAAACAAAAACAAAAAAGAAAGAAGGAAAGGAAAAGAAAAATTAAGGTCAGGGGGGCAGAAAGCACTTTTTTGATAAGTCAGAAATGCTGGAATAATTCTGATAAAAATGATTCTATTCATACCAACACTGGGGTCATAATAACAAAGTCTCAGTATTTTCTGTATTAAGTGGTAGAGTCATTTAGAATTAAGGGAAAGTATTTCTGTCCGACAAGAATGCAGACTAACAATGTGTCTTCCTCTCTCTCCATTGTGGGTGAAGGATCTTGAAGATGCCTACCACATTACAGACATCCATGACGCTTTGGCACTGTCGGAAGTGGGGAATGACAGGAAGCTGTTCTTGTTTGGAACTCAGGTGACTGAGAATGGCTCAGAGATCCCCTCCACCATGCAAGATGCCAGAGACCTGATTGCACATCTGGCCGCAAATATGTAGAAGTTGACTAGGACCTGGCCCACTATACAATTCACCATCAAACCATCATCAAAGAGGGCTGAATGGCAGGCTTAAGCCGAAGGTTTCCACTTCCAATAAAAAATAGGCCATTTCCTATTCTCTCAATGCAAAGTGTATATACGAAGAGAATGCTCATTTATTAAGATTACATTTTATTTTTTTAGATTTTTAACTTTAAAATTTGTTAATTATTTTGTTTGATGATAATTTGGATTTTTGCTTGTTTTGGGTGCTGAGAGTTGAACCCTGGGCCTCACATATGTTAAACACACCATCTACCGTGGTGCTATGCCCACACACCTGGATGAGGGTTTTAACTCAAAAGTAAAGTTTGTATTAGCAAGCTTTCATTCCACCTGTGGTTTCTCTTTTTGTTTTGTGTATATGTTCATGTATGTACATGTAAGGTCAGAAAGGTGCCATAAATCACGTATATGCCTTTGCTTATTGTGGTTTCTACTGTGGGACAATGCTCTTGTATACTGTAAAGAGTTGTCACTCGTGTTAGTTTAATAAAATGTTGATTGACCAGTAGTCAAGTAGGAAGTATAGGCGGGGTCACCAGACTAAGGAATTCTGGGAAGAGGAAAAGCAGAGAGTCAGTCCTCATCCAGACACAGAGGAAACAAGATAAAAATGCTACACTGAGGGGCTGGTGAGATGGCTCAGTGGTTAAGAGCACTGACTGCTCCTCCAGAGGACCTGGGTTCAATTCCCAGCACCCACATGGCAGCTCACAGCTGTCTGTAAATCCAGTTCAAGAGAATCTGACATCATTATACCAATATGCATGAAATAAAGTTAAATAAAGTTTTTTTTAAAAAAAATGCTACACTGAGAAAAGGTACCAAGCAACGTGGCTAAATATAGACAATAATTATGGGTTAATATAAGTTGTAAGAGCTAGTTAATAATAAGTCTGAGCTAATAGGCCAAAGAGTTTATAATTAATATAAGCCTCTGTGTGTTTCTTTGGGACTGAACAGCTGTGGGACCAGGCAGGACAGAAACACTGGGTGTCAATTGTTAGACTTCCACAAATTATATTCAAGGATGGAGGTGCAGGTGACTGGTTTGTAGAACCCAAGTCTTTTAGACACAAAAGCAGCCTAAAACTACTATGTCAGTTTCTCTAGCCAGGCCTGACTGATACTAGAGACCAGTGGCCACTCCCTACTAAATTCCTCAGCAATCAACCCTCTGCACAAGTTTCTAACCTCAGTTTATGATACTCAATTCAAGGCTCAGCTAATTAACTGCTTTAAGTCCTAAAATTTATGGGGAGGACAAGAATAACAACCAGTTGCCCAAGGCCAGAGAGAAACAACTTTACATGGGAAAATCTCACAGATAGCCAGGGCTACAAAGACGGTCTGGCCTCACAGCCTTGACTTAAAAAGTTACAAGTTACCCTCCTTGTGCTCTGGGGCTGCATGCAGGATAAGAAAATATGCTTTTAGGTTTGGGAAGCCCAGAAAAATGCCAAACGCTATGCCCCTGGCCTCAGGTCACAGCCTGTATACCAGGAACTTTGAAGCCAGAAGTTTCCATGGTTACTCACTCCCCTCAGATGTAGCTTTTGTAACCTTTTTTTTTGTTGTTGTTGAAAGAAGTTTGTTGTTGAACCTGTACATATAAGCTATGTGAGCAAAGAAGCTGGAGAGAATGGAGGCAAGAGAAGTAGAGCAGGAGAAATTAGAGCAGAGAATTAGAGGATTGAAGTTGCAGAATGAAAAGAGTGTGACCTTCAGATCATGGATGTCTTTTTCCTTTAGAAAGATTGGAAATTTTCCTGAAGTCCTCACTGCTCTGAAGCATTCTTTTCTGCAAACTTGGTGAGTTCTGGGAGCTGGACTACCAGGCTGCAGCACCTGAGGTGTCCTCTGGCCTCCACATACGCAATGTGGCAGTTATACATGCACACACATAACATGTTATAAAATCTTTATGTGTTGAATGTTTTGCCTGCATATCTGAAAGTGTACTGTATGTGTGGCTAGTTTCTGCAGAGTCCAGAAGAGGGTGCCAGATTCATTGGAACTGGAGGATAATTCATTGGGAGCCATTATTGGGTCCTCTGCAGCAAGCAGTCTTTAAAAAAAAAAAAAGATGTTTGTATGTTTGTGTGCCTGGGTGTAGGTATGCACACCACATGCATGCAGGGGCCTGCAGATGTCTGAGGTATTAGATTCCCTGGAAATTAAGGACCATTGTAAGCCACCACGTAAGTGCTGGGAACCAAACCCAGGTCCTCTGTAAGAACAGTAAATGCTCTTAAGCACTGAGCCATCTTTCCAGGGCTGTAAGTGGTCTTCACTGCTAGACCAAAATGTAATCAGATCTTAAAAAATAAATTTGAAGCAACAAATTACCTGATTGATACATACACACTCTAGAATGAGACTCCTAGTTCCATTCCAGATAACTTTCACAAAAACGTTTTAATTTTCTATAGGTCAGTGAATTTAAGTACTCTTCATTTTTTTTAAATGGTGTCTTTAACCATACATTTTGACAGATGATTTATTCCTTAACATTTAATTCCGTCTCTTGAAGGTAAACACCAGACTGAGATGGCACCAATTCTGCTCTTCTTCCCCATACTATTATGGTCATAAAGATGAGTACTTTCCAGGCTTTCTCTCTCTCTCTCTCTCTCTCTCTCTCTCTCTCTCTCTCTCTCTCTCACACACACACACACACACACACACACAGGGGGGGAGGGGATGTTGAAAATATGGCTCATCACTTAAGATGGGTACTGCACTTGCAGAGGATCCCAGTTCGGCCCCAGTTCAATTTCCAGTTCCTTTGGCAGCTGCTAACTGCCTGTAATTCCAGCTCAAGGCGATCTGATGTTCTCTTCTGGATTCCATGGGTTCTAATACTAACAAGAGCACAAACCTACACAGGCACACACATACACATAATTAAAAAATAAAAGTAAATTTTTGGTTTTTCAAGACAGGGTTTCTCTGTGTAGCCCTGGCTGTCCTGGAACTCGCTCTGTAGACCAGGCTAACCTTGAACTCCGAGATCTGCCTACCTCTGTCTGCTGAATGCTTGTATTAAAGGCCTGGGCCACCATCAATCAGCTAAAAGTAAATATTTTTAAAAGACACAGAGAAGTCGGCACCTTGACTCACCCCTATAACCTATCACTTGAGAGGCCGAGGCAAGAGGATTGCCACAAGTTCAAGAGTTCGAGACCAACCTGGACTAAATAGTTCCAGGTCAGCTTGAACTGCAGAGTGAGCTTGTCTCAAAATCAATCAATCAAACAAACAAACAAACAAAAAAATGTTGGGGACAAAAGATATGATGGGAGGAAGAGGAGAGAGAGACACAAAGCCACAAAATAATCTTCCAGAGGTATCACTATGAATAGATCAGTCAATAAAATTGTGCTGTTCACAAGATTAATTATATGATTAATAACGTCTGTAGTGGCACAAGCTAGGGGTCTTGAAATAATGCAGTCTAGAGATCTTGGTCAAGTTTGTGTTCTTTGCCAGTTAAAGAATTAAAAGGCAGGAAAATCTGCAGCGCAAAAGATAGCAACAGAGGAACCTCAAGTATCGCAGACAGAATCAGCAGTTGAAGGACGGCATTTATTGGAGATGAGGAAACAACATAAGTAGACAACCAAGGAAAAGACCCTCGGCAAAGTAGTGGATTCAGGAAGCTGAAAGTCCGGTCTCTTTCAGAGGTTGTGGGGTTTCAAAGCCCCTGAAGAGTTTTCTTCCCTAATTTAGGTCAGTTTGAAGAAAGTGAGGATGGTTGACTGGCATGTCCTGAGAGGTCGTGAACTTGTTGAGCCAGCCCATCAGTCTACAAAGCCTAAGTTGTCAAGTTTAGCCTAAAGTCAGGAGGGTGAGGATGACGCTGGCCATCTTAGAAGTTGGCCATCTTTCTTACCTAGTCAGGGCTCCTCTCTCCCTATCTGTCTGCTAACAGTTCAACTCCTAGTCTCACTTTGATAGTGGGCCTCGGAACGGCACACAAGCTGTCCTTGAATATACGGATGCATTTAGACGTGTTTCGTCGAAGTGTTTCGTTGGGCAGAATTTCATGTAAAGAAAAGGCTAGTGATCTGGACTATTCTGACGGACATTAAGCTTGTAATGTCCTCCCCCTTCACAACCTTCATTTTGACTGCTGAATTTTTACTAGAAACCGATTGCTTTAGTGGGGCGGGGCGGGGGAGCTGGAGGGTGGCGGGGGGGATAGTAAGACTTAAAAATCTATCCACTCCCAGTCTTTGTAAAGTGTGTGGAGAAATCTCGGAAACCTAACCAGTCAGGAAGCAGAGAAGTACAGCGAGTTGTTGAGTCTTCTCCCCTCACACCAGAAGCAGGAGCAGAATCCCGCCCTCCAGGCTTCCTGTCTCCTGTGCGGCAACTAACAGAGGCGCACCCTAGGCTAGCAACGCGTCTCCATAGCAACCGGAGAGCCAAAGCGCTGAGATGATGGGCGGGGCGGTGAAGGGCGGGGCTAGGCGTCCGGGGGCGGAGCTGAGTCTGTCCGGGCCGGGACGAGGGCGGCCCCAAATCTCCGGTCCGCGCCGCGAATTGTGCTCGGGCGGCAGGCTGACAGTCGGACAGTTCGCGCCCTGGGTACCCGGAGCTTCTAACTGAAATGGAGGAAGGAGACTTCTCAGGTTCATCCGTGCTGTCTGGGGTGACTGATGGGCAGAACACGACAGAAACACACACACACTCGGAACTCCACCCGAAGCCCCTTGTACTTAGGCTCCTGGAGGTGAAAGAACTTGGGAATGAAGTGGTCGAAGGGGGTGAGAAGGAAAGACAAGAAGAGGACCATGGGTATGAAGACTTCACCGTGTTCGGTGAATCCTCCAATACTCACAAATCCCATGATGCCTCCACATCTTCCAAGTCCCGCAAGACCAGCGATCCTCCTCAGTCCCGCAAGACCAGCGATCCTCCTCAGTCCCGCAAGGACAGTGAACCCCTCCAGTCGCGCAAGGACAGCGAGTCCCTCCAGTCCCGCAAGGGCAGTGAGTCCGTCCAACCCCGCAAAGGCAGTGAGTCGGTCCAGACCCGCAAGGGCAGTGAGTCGGTCCAGTCCCGCAAGGGCAGTGAGTCCGTCCAGTCGCGCAAGGGCATTGAACCCCTCCAGCCCCGCAAGGCCAGTGAGCCCCTACATTACCGCAAGGGCAGTGAGCCTCTTCGGTCACCGCAGGTCCACGCGTATGGAAAAGGAGACTTGCTTCCCAACGCAGTGATTACGACCTCCCCATCTTTGATAGCCAGATACCTACCGCGGCTCCAGCTGGCTTCCTTGAGCGGTAGGTTTAGCCCCAACCCCGCCGAAATCCACCCATCTAGAACTCAGGCAGGAGTCTGGTGAAGAAGGTTCACGAGTTTAAAGGAACTTGATTCTTGTGTCGTCTACTGCTGCTTTGCAGCCACCTCTCTTTGTACTTCAAGGAACTCCAATGGGAAACTGACACCCTAATAATGACAGAGCCACCTCACCACTTCCAGGATTGAACCTAGTACCTACTAGGCAAGAACTCTCGCCCCGAAAGCTCTTCGACTGAGCGCACCAGTCTATTCTGCTAGGTTACATCTCAACCAGTCCTTATTATTTTTTTGTTATATGATTTCTCTTTTTATTTATATTTCTCTTTTTTATATGATTTTTTTTGGGGGTCGTTATATGATTTCTCTTATTCACCACCTAAAGACAGGTCCTCAAAGGGAGGCTGTTTTTGTTAGCGTTTGGGGCTTGGGCCCAGGGGAAATGAAACATTCAGAGAACAAGTTCTGGCAGAGTGCATGTAACTGTTCATCGTCCGCCCAGTCCTTCTCAAACTTACAAGGTAACAAGGCTGGTAGGACATGAATAAAAAGGTCCTTGCTTTTACCACTTAAGCCCACTTCCAACTCCTCCATAGAGACTGTTGGCACTGGCCCTGCAATCCTGTGCTCACACTAGGCATTGCTTCTCACCTGGCCTCAGTTACATGGCTCATCATTCCAGCCACCCCCTTACCACACGTCCTAACACATCACTGGCTCTGCTGGTCACCACACTCCTGCCAGAGCTCCAACCCTGGGAAACACCAGCAGCAGTCTATATGCCCCCAGGAGTTGACTCTTGCGATCCAAAATTGCATTATTGTACTGATGGTTTTATTTCAATTTCTTTACTATGAATTGTAATTGGCACTGAGAACTCTCTGGCAGACTCCCCTTTATTTACTGGTAAATTGGTTTTCCCTGGGGCTAAATACATTCTTTCTCCTCCTCCAACCTTCACACTTTTGTCCTTCACCCAGTGGGAGACTTTACCTCCTACTTTCCCCCACATCCCACTAGTCTCCTAAAGAACTCTTACACTTGTCTCACTGCTCTAGTGCATCGTTTTCTCCTTTTCTAATGAATTAGTCCCATGAGCAAACAGACTAGTAGCTTGGAATAACCTTTGACCCCATGCCTTCATTTCCTCCTCTTATTACCTTCTTAGCTACCTAGGTGGGTCTCTTTTCTCTTTTACTTCACCAAAACTGCCTCAGCGTGCCGGTCGGTGGTGCACACCTTTAATCGCGGCACTCGGGAGGCAGAGGTAGGCAGATCTCTGAGTTCGAGGCCAGCCTGGTCTGAAGAGCGAGTTCTAGGACCTCATCATCCCTACATGCGAGCCGCTGGGCTTCTCATTCTGATGCTCTTATTGGGACGATTTTAGTTTTCACCCCATCTGAGGCTCCCCCTGCCCCCAGCTATCCTCAACTGTTGTGCCATTTCAGAATGGTTTTTAAGCACAGTCTCAAGCTATGCCCAATATTTTGAGCTCAACCTTGAGTCTCCTTTTATCAAAATTTAGCTCAGAAGGCACCATTAACCCATTGACTCTACTGATCTTCTATTATGTGCCGCCAGTCTCTGACTTTCTGTCCCTCCTTACCTTATCTTCTCTGACATTCTGTCTCTTCTTACTTATCGCTGTGACCCATTTTTGTCCCTGTGCACCTCTCTCTCTCTCTCTCTCTCTCTCTCTCTCTCTCTCTTTCTCCCTCTCTCTCTCTCTGCCCCAGGCTGATCCTTCTGCATCCTCTTAGAACTGGGATTACAGGCATGTGCTGCCATGCTTCCCTAACCTCTCTGGTGTAGACAGATATTACAAGAGGAAGATAGACAACTATGTGGATTGGTCTCTAAATTGGTCTCTGCACATCAAGTGGTCTCTCCACCCTGCTTAGCAAACCCAAACAACATTTCTAAACACTTCAGAAATCCTTGTCTGTGTTCAACTTTCGTTATTTCCTTATATCCCCTTCTTCCACATCACTTAAACAAACACACAGCTGAGGTTGGGGAGTGGGTGAGAGGATTCATGTAAATATGGAGACCTGAGTTCAGATCTCAGCACCTATACCATTAGTGCAGCTGTACCCTCCTGTAAACAACAGTGCAGGGGGCAGGAGGAGGAGACAGACAGAAGGATCCCCTCTCTCAAAGGAATAAGGTGAAGAATGGTAAAACAACACCCAGCTATCATCATCTGGACACTCACACACAATGCACTCACACACACATGCAATCACACACATATGCACTCACACAACGCACTCACACACACATGCACTTACACACATGCGCTCACTCACACACACATGTACTCACACACATGCACTCACACACACATGTACTAACACATATGTGCACGCACATATGCACTCACACACATGGGCACTCACACACATGCATTCGCACACACATGCTCATGCATATATAATATAAGCACACGCACATGTACTCATACACACACATGCACACACACAGGTACTTACACAATGCACTCACACACAATGCAGTCACTCACACACATGCACTCACACACAGACACTCACACATACACAAGCACTCACACACATGCACTCTCTCTTGCTCTCTCACACAAACACATGCACTCACACACACATACACACACAGGCACTCACACAATGCACTCACACACAAGCTCTCTCTCTCTCTCTCTCTCACACACACACACACACACACACTCATTTTTTCCTCTGAAGTCCACTACAATACTGTACCTCTAAGTAACCCCTTTCTTCAGCCAATGGTGAGTGAACCCCTATCCTCAGACAGTGGTGGGCAAACTGTTTTTAATGTCTATTAATGGTCATTTCTGACTTCTATCTGTTGGATCTCATCTAACTTTAAAATTTTTTAACTAGTGTGGTGTGTGTGTGTGCACATGCGTGCACTAATGATGTATGGATGTGGTGTGCATACATGCCGTGGTGCTAGGGTGGAGACAGGGCAAGTTCTTAGGGTCTATGTTTATGTAGTTCTGGGAATCAAGCTTAGATGAGACACCAGGCTAGTACAGCAGCCCCCACACGCTGAGCCATCTCACCAGCCCCCATCTACCCTTTCTCTGATGCATCATTGTGGTCTTCTCTTTCTTTCTTTTTCTTTTTTTCTTTCTTTATTTATTATGTATACATCATTCCTTCCATGTATGCTTAAATGCCAGAAGAGGGCACCAGATCTCCTTATAGATGGCTGTGAGCCACCATGTGGTTGCTGGGAATTGAACTCAGGACCTCTGGAAGAGCAGTCAGTGCTCTTAACCTCTGAGCCATCTCTCCAGCCCTGGTCTTCTCTTTCTTGACTGTTCCTATTTGACACACAAATATTACATGACTACTCCACCTGAAAACGATCACGAGTCTTCCCTAGCCCCGTGGACCCTTCCCTTCCAGGTACCACTCTATCTCTCTGTTTGACTTTAAGGGTGCACACACACACACACACACACACACACACACACACACACATCCTCAAAATAGTTGCCTAAAAGTCAAGATTTCAATATTCTCTTTTTCTTTCCTCTTGAGAACTAGTTTAAGATTTCATTCTGTTCACCTAGCTAAAGCTGGTTTTGTTGAGGTCACAATGATCTCTGTCCTGCCAAGAGCGAAGGTGACCCCTTCATTTGACACATTTCTTTCTATCACGGGAATCTTCCTTGTTCCCTGGAATACTAATACCTCTGCTGTCTTACCTTGTGGATTCTTCCTGACATTTCCTTTGCTCGGAGCCCTTCTCTTCCCAGCCTTTATGTTGAAGTTACTGATGGCTTTATCCTCTCAGATTCTTCTAGAACTCCCTTTATTCTCTGGATGATGTCATCAGTTCCATGGCTTAATTGCCAGTAGCTTCTCAAATTATTTATAGCTTTTACTTCTCCCCCAGAACTCAATTATCTGGTCTTCCTTCTTGACTGCCCACATGAAGCTCACTGTGTCAAACTGACAGCTCTGAACCATTAGCACATCCTAACTCTGAATTATATTCCATGACCCTTCCCTAGCATCCAAAGTATTACTGTGTGCTGTTTTTAATCTCTTGCGTAGTTCACCACAGTGGCCTCCAGGTGGCCCCCTGCTCTGTCTCTACCCTCCAATTCATTGTTCGCATCCGGATCGGGAGTTGTCTAGAAAACATATTACAAGCTTATTTCCTGTTCTCAACCATCCCAGCGGTAGTTCCCATCTTACGTGGCGTGTGATCTCAAGGGCCTAACAAGCCTCACTTGGTCTAGTCTTGATCATTAACCTGAGTTTTGTTTTCAAGGTAAGCTTTCACGTAGTCCAAACTGGCTCCAAACCCACGCAGCAGAGTGTGACCTTACGTTTATATCCCTCATGCTTTCACCACCATAGAGCTTGGGACTACAGGCCTGGACCACTGTACTTAGTTTACGATGGGCGGGGATGGAACCCAGGGCTTTGTGTAGGGCAGATAAGCACTCTCCTCCCCAGTGGAGCTACCTCTCCAACTCACTGACCTGATCCTGAACTTGACCTAGCCAGTCTCTAACTTCAGGACTTCCATTCTCCTTATTGTTTTGCTCTCGAGGCACATGAGCACCGTCTCCTTCCTCAGAGTCAATTTTCTTCTGCTAGGAGACTCTCAAAGTATGTGTTCCCTCCTCATACAAAAAAATATTAGTCTTTGGCCTGCTAATTTTCTGGAAAACACATATCCAACTCTAGTATATGCCTCTGTGTTTAGCTCTTTACACTCTCACGAAGGCAGAACTGAGTGATTTTCATTGGATGAAGAAACTCTTCAGTGACTTCAGGGTCATGAAATCCAGTGTATCCTTTGGTGCCTTGGGTGTTGTAAAAAGATTCAGGGTTAATACCTGTGAGGGATGTAGAGCAGGTTTTGGTACATGGTAAGTGTACAGAAGACACTAGCTGTGGGAATGTTGATGCTACCTTATTTAACCTCTTGGCAGTGTTCCGTACACTTAGCTATTCCT